TTTGTTTGTTAGGGCACCAGTAACACCATTCTAGAAACTCTTTTGAATTTCCCATTTGAAAGTTTTCAACAAAATGCTGTAGACATATATAAGTAACAGTAAAGTACTCTGCCAGGTTGGTCTAGCAAGGGGACATCATCTAGCCCCATCCATTCTCAAACGTCACCTTCATATCACAGCTACTGTTGGCTGATCAGCTCTCACAATCAACAGCTCAGCTTTCATCTTCTGAGAGCTTTTCATAGGCAATTAACATAGAGTGTTAGAGAAGGTGACCAGGATTGTGTTAAATACTCTGAGCTTCAAAAAAATTGTTAAATGTAAGATTATTTTCAAGTGGATAAGGTGACATGGACATGGCTGACAGTTTTAAGTGTAATTTGTAGCGCAGAAATCCATTGTTTTGAAGATAATATTAAAGAAATCTGAGTTTTCTGATTGTAATGAGATTTTCAACTGATGTTTGAATACCATGATGGATCATTTCAGTCACTTGGTTTGGCATCTAATGCTTCCTCCGTAACAGGACTTGTATGGTTCAGGCTAACATTTTTACAGCAACAGGGCAGCAATTTTGATTTTTGTGACTATCATCAGCTAAAGGATTTTGTATTTTCTATATTGGTCAAGTAACTCTCATGTGCCAAGAAACAGAACCGTTTCTCAATTCTAGCCTACCCTGATGCCTCTCTGTATTCCTTACAGATGCTCTTCTATTACCTTTATTACATGTTAGAAGAAAAGCATCTGACATTTTATGAGGAATAAACCCTAGCAGCAATGCAAAGTTCAAGTCTAAACCAGAAACTTTTCCTTCCCATAAGGCCCCTTTTTTGTTTAGGCATCCACATTTTCCCCCACATTTTAAAACTTTGTATGTATTTATGCTGGAACTTTCAAAGCCACCAAGAGGATTTGGATGCCAGACTGCAGCTCTTTTTAACAAGATCTGAACATCCAAATCCATACACAGATTGAATATACATTAGGCTTTGTATAAGTGCTAACAAACAGCTAGCAGAGCTAGCAGCTATGCAACACCCAAAAATATACTCAATTTGATTCTGCAACGCTTTAGTTATTCCAACCAGATCATCTACAGGGAACTAAGCCACCTACTGCCATGGTGAGTTGGTTCTGTTGTGCCAGATACAGAGAGCAAGAAGCTGCAAAGCCATTTTACTTGCAAAGTAAGCCAAATTCTAAATATAAACCTCCCACCACAGTATATTCAATTACAAAGTCACAACGGCCTCCTATTCCAATTAGACTTTTTACAGGATTTTAGGGAACACCACACTCCATCCTCAGTCAACCAGTGCCAGTTCCCTCCTGCAAGGATTCCTCTGTGTCCTTCACCCCCAGAGGGCTGGTTTTCAAGGACAGATGTAGTCAGCACACATCGGGAGGAGGTCTAATCCCAATGGCCCCACATGCTTATGATGGCCAATGAGATTGCCAATTAGTCTTTGACTCCGTGAGCTGTAGAAGTATAAAGCCATGCAGGCACAATCATCAGTCTGGTGCTAGCTGGTGTTCTACTAACATTTTTTTGTCAAGGGTAGCATTTTTTGGCTTATAGGTCTCCCAAAGAGAAGAGTTAAGCATTGTTCTTCAGGAAGTCACATGTCACTTAAAGAAAACAAGTGACACACAGCACAAAGAACTGACAGCAACCAAATATAAATGATAGTTGGAATTGTCAGTGCAATAGACAGCAACAAGGGTTCATATTTATTGAAACTACTTTTATCTAAAACTGCCCTAGGAACAATACCTGTCTTCAGTTGAAGATAAAACACAAACTAAATACGGACTTGTGTAGGCAACTAGTGGTTTTAGTATCATTTTAGAAAATACTTATATATATATAGGTATATTTATAACCTGAAAATGATGATTCCCTAAAAATATGAAGGTTTTTCCTTTTTGTACAGGAATCTGCTTCAACATCAATTTAATGATTACTACTGGTAGATGGAATTTTGATATACATTTGGTAGTGATTTACACCAGTGTTTTCAAGGCTGCCAACAAGCAAATCCAGAAGGCAGGAAGCCAAGATTCCAGAAGAGACAACTGTCTTTTATTTTATAGCTTATGCATTTTGAGCTTAATATGATTTTCCACTAACAAGTTCTGTACCTTCTCCAAAGTGCTAAAACTGGTGTGCAGAATTGCAAAGTAACACAGCCTCTTCAAGGCAAGCTAATATTAAACTCATGGTAAATTATAGAAGTTATACTGTTTACTTAGGGAAAAAAAAACCAGTAAGGTTAAAAGAACTACTCATGATTTATTGCAGACACTTGTTTCAACGGTCACATTTTTAAGCTTGACTATATATGAATCAATGATATATCAGGTATGAATCAATGATATATCAGCTAAGTGTTGTTTCCTGTTTGATACAGAATGGGCAAATACCTAAGAGACAAGGAAGAGACCGTTGTAACAAGAGGAGCACAGGGTATGCATTGGTTATATCGTATGCTTGATAAACAGGATGCAAATAATCTCAAATATTTTCAGGAAGGCATCAAAAACAAGCTGCATTTGAAGGAGCAAAAAGGGCATGAACAGAAACAGTGTTTTCTCACTTTTCAACCAGAACTATAGGAAGTGGGCACATGTTAGCCTGGTGAGGTCCAAATCTTGTGCTAAATATGATGACTGAATGGTTTCTAACGATGATAATACTATGCGAATAGTATGCCATTTGCAACGGCAGTATTAGTGAAGAAAAAGCTATTCATCCATTAGTCTAGACTCTATACATAACATGGGGCCCTAGCTACCACTTCATATCCATCAATGTGAAAGACCAAACATAGTTTTGCTGTTTAAAGTATTTATCGGTCCGCTGATCACCTATTGGAAAGGTGACACCTATTAGGACAGTATGTGCTCATTGCTCCTCAGAGCAATAGCTACCACTTGTTCATTATCACCTGAAACTAAAGTCAGATTAGCTAAGTTGCTGACAATATAGAAAAGGTAGTTCTGTGAGCCATGTGTGCCTCCTGAAACTATAACTGCACAGAACTGAACACCACAAAGAACATCTCTCATTCTATTAGAATTTACTTTGCAAATTAAGACACATAAGTCAAAACTGAACAGGCTGTAGATAGCATAATCTTAACAAGTAGAGAAAAATATTTACCCTGAAATAAAGACAGTAAACTGATATTCCATGTTCAGATATGAACTGGGAATGAGTCCTCCTCTTTGCTTTCCTCTTCCCGGCGCAGGTTTTTGTCTGATTGTAAAACTTACCATCCCATCTCCTTTCTTAGTAACGTTTGTCTATCCCAATGAATTCCCAAATTACCTCTCATTTCATACTCCATGGCACTACAAAGAACAAATGCCAGCTTTAGAAGAAGCACTCTTGCATAGCAGCATGGATCCTGTTGCATGATAGTACAGCGCAGGTGTAGCCTTAGAAACAGGACCTCATTCAAAAACAGGTTATGAACCCACAGGCTGCGAATCTTGACATGCATGACTGAGGAAATGACAAAAGCCACTGCAGACATGATGCTGACCCCACAAGATCAATAATTCTAACCACACTGTATGCTTTTCCTCCACCTGTTACGACCTGTACAATTTATACCTCTGTACACATCCAACTTGTAACAGATTCCCAGGCACCAATTAGACCCTTTCCTATAGCAACAGTTCAAATACACGTGACGCAAAAGGTGTTTAAATAGACACTGCAGAGAAACCAGAGTTACTCTAGACATATTTTCTGTGTATTTTATTGATCTGATACAATATACAAGCATACACAGCAGTATAGGTGTGTGTGTGTATCTGTATACACATACATACACAAAATGCCGTATGTATGATACATACAACAAACAAGGCCAGATTATCTGGTCTTGCAGAAATATGCCCAGCACAGGATCAAAGACCGGGGTGGAGGCATACAAGCCCTTCAGAACTGTGACACCGTCTGTTCCTACAGCTGTCTGGGGACCAGGACAGCTTCTGTAATAGGACAGAAGGACAACAAGTATCTACTTTAGATCTAGTAAGAGAGAAGATGGTTGCTTTTATCTTATCACTGGTTATTCTGTTTTCCAAGGGTGATCCATTATTATTCATAATAATATGATAATCATGACTCACTGGCTTTACACCAGGAGATAAATGAAAGGCGCACAGAAACTGCTAAGTGGGATTCTGCAGCACAAAGACAGCTAATAGCAGATGCCAGAACTGCAGCAGGCCCAACAGGTTGCTGAGACCCGGAGGCTGAGGTGTGCAAAGTCTGGGCAAACACTCAAGAAAGAGCTCAACAGGAATCCTTGCTTTATCCTTTGCCCATCCCCAATCTTGCCATATCTATAGGTCCCTCTAGTACCCTCTTCTAATACCACCACAGAAGCGGTAAGAACACACCAGCATGCTAATAATGTTTTTCCACAGTAAAGAATTGCTACCATTTATTTGTTAGTGACATATTTTATGAGAAAAACAGTGGAATTGATAAAGCTGGTTATCAGGCACCTGGCTGTGTAATTTACACAGGAATCCACAGCTCCCAACAACATGGCCTCACGGTGTATTCTAGGAAGAACAATCCAGATAGTTACCAAGTTTGTGGCTATTAGATATTTTAATTTTTCCAGCTAATGAAAACAGAAAGAATATTGGTGATATAGCTCTGACAGGAATATTTTGCTTGTTAAACAATAACAAAATACATTTTAAGCCCTATTTTTTACCATAAACTATTGTCAGTTAATAACCTAGACTTGTATTTCTTCCTCTGTTGCAAGTTCGTGGCTTGGATCAATAAGACATGTTCCTATCATTTTCCCATCAGACATTACTGGAGAAGCTGTAGGTGTCTGCGCTGTAAGTAAAGAGAGAGAAGGAGAAAAACTAGGGGTCATGGTTGGTGGAGGGTATCTGAGATTATGAATAAGGGGAGAACGAGGGTGTTTTTTAAATGTTTGCCCTGATGTTATGTTGGGCATTCGTGGTGGCACTGTCCTTATGCCAGGCTGAGCTACCGAAGTTATCAAGGGAGGAGGGAAAACAAGAGATTTCCTCTCATTAGGGAAGCTATGAATGTGTATGTTTTCATCTTTCAGTTTTGCAATATCATTAAACACTGAGGCAAGAGATTGAAATCTGGGTTCCCAGCTGAGCACATAATCCCAGTTATAACCACTTCGGGGATCCTCATCAGAGGTGCCAAGAGTCGCAAGTGAATCATACCCAGAGTCCTGCCTATCTGACACGAAGATGTATTCTCTTGTGAGGTCTGTCATTATGTCTTTCTCTTTTATTCCAATTTTTTTTAGTGCTTGAGACAACGTTTTATGTGAGTAGGCTGTGTCACAGGCTTCTCTACCTTCTCCTTTAATGGCCTGTATGCTCTCCATGCTTTGCATGGTAGTCACAACATCTGTTTCTCCAGACTGACAGGAGAGCCGATCAGACTCCCTTGGGATGCCCGAATCTGGCACCCGTGAGCCACACTCGCTCAGCGCTGAGCCAGCACTCTTTCTGCAAGGATGCTCATTGATCCTTTTGATTTCCTCGTCCTCTGCAGTTTCTCCTTCAGCAGAACTGTGGCCACTGGAGTCTGAATGCCTGCAGGGGACACCGTCATCCTTCCCCTCTCTGATTCCTGCTAGGCTCAGCCATTCTGCTATGGCACCCATGGGAAGCATACTGCTCTCAGTACTTTGGATTTTCTGGCAGCCCTTGTCTTCGCTGGATGAATTCACATCAGTAGCTGAGGAGGATACTGCTTCTTTTCTCACACAAGAGTTCATCAGCTCTTTCCTCTTCTGGCTCAGAATAAGTGCAATAAGGCTGACCGCAAGCAGTAGGAACACTATGGAGGAGATGGAAACGCTAATGGTCAGGCTGTGTGCTGACACTATGGGATAACTCTCAGGAGAATCGGAAACATTTACCAAAACAGTGCATACCGTGAACTTTGACTCAATTTTGGGGCTATGAGCTCGTATCAACAATTCCAGAGTGTCATCACTCCTTTTGCTGCCATTTTTCATTCTGTGAACAGTCCGAGTCAAATAAATATTACCACTGGTTTGATTCACAGAAAAGAATGGAGAAGTTTTTAGCAGGGAGTAATGAACGACTCCATCCAGTCCACCATCACTGTCTGATGCTGTCACTCTGCCAAGCAACTGGCCTGCTTCGTTCTTCTCAGGGAGATTAAAGAAATACCGATCTTGTGTAAAAATTGGGTCAAATTCGTCTCTCCCCTCAATATCTACCTGAACTGTAACAGTGGCCAGTGAGTCACCTTTGTCTTTTGCTTGGATTATGAGACAGTACCTATTCTGACTTTCATAGTCAAACATCTGCTTTGTATGAATATCTCCTGTCAAAGGATCAATGAAGAACATGTCATGGTCTCTAGGAGCTTCACGATGAGCCAAACATGAAGACTGGATGGAGTAGGTAAGGTGTCCATAGGGGCCTTTATCAAAATCCAGTGCATTAACAGAGCACACAAAAGAAAAGGTAGGAAGATTTTCACTGACAATGCAGCTCAGGCTGGGAAACAAAAACAGGGGAGCATAATCGTTGTCATCTAGGACGTTAACAAGAACAACAGAAAAAGCCACATTTTTTTCATCAGTTCCTCCATCTGTGGCTTGGATGACCAAAGTGAATTTCATGGTATCCTCATAATCTAGCGTTTTCATCAAATCCACTGATCCTGTTTTCCCATCCAAGTGAAAATGTCCCCTGTCATTTCCAGAGATGATAGCATAAGTGATCTCTGCGTTAGTGCCTGCATCATGGTCATTTGCTGAAACTTCGGTGACATGGCTGCCTACAGGGATGCTTTCTTTGATGTGAATATGGTACTCTGGGCTGCTAAATACTGGAGAATTATCATTAACATCCAGCACAGTTATTAGCACAGTAGCAGTTGAATTCAAGGAAGGTGTTCCATGATCAGAGGCGAGGAGAACCAAACGGTGAGAAGAAGCCTTTTCCCTGTCGAGAACATTGCTCAAAACAAGACTGCCAACAAGTTTGTAGGATGTTTCTGACTCCACGACACTTGTTTCCACAGAGAATAAATTCTCAGCATTGCCATCAATAATAGAGTATTCAACATATGTGTTTTCATGTGTCCAATCATAGTCGATGGCTGAAAACATGAGGATACTTTCTCCAACAGAGGCATCTTCACTCACACTAAGATTGTACAGAACTCTTGTGAACTGAGGGGCATAGTTATTTACATCTTCTACATGCACCTCTACGGAGGTAACTGCACTCAGAGCGGGACTGCCACCATCCATGGCTTCTATCAGGAGCTGAATAATGGAAATCTTTTCCAGCTGTGTCACTGGTCCTGTAGTAAACACCGAACCTGAAAATAAAACAGAATTAAAGAAAGCCCACACTTCACACTCACTAAGGCAAGTAAACGTCATTCCAAAAATTGAATCTAATCAGACATATTTGAAAATGACTACACTGTAATGGCCGCACACCCCAAAGTAACTCTCACATCCAATATCTTAAATCTCTCAAATAAATAAATCTCTTAAATAAATATCTTAAAACCCAAACAATTCTAAGAAATCATAGCTAATGCTGTGAAGCCAAGGCCTACCCACAATGATGCAGTATCAAATATGCATAATGCATTTAGACCAGCAAAAATTTCTCTTCTTAGCAACAAGCCAAACATGCAAACTCCATAAAATAAAAGGCAAAACAAAGCTAAGGAAATATAGGATCCTTATTAGAGATGGCTACGCTGTGCGAGTTCATTACTGAAGATTGTTACTTCTGTTTTGCTTGCAAGACAGTAACAGTATTATGGGCTGTTTTGTTATTTAGATAGGTTTGCCAGTAAGTTATATAAACACCTTTCATTCAAGTTGCTTATCTAAACATGGGGATTAGGCTAGGTCCCTTCCAACCCAACCCATTCAATGACTCCATGTTCATAAACGGTCTGCTTCATTCTTCACAGTATATAGCTGAGCACCACAGAGACAGCACTGTGTGACAACTTTCTGTCACAGTTGAAAACAGCCACTAGCCAAACATAAAGACAGGTTGGTGAACACAGAGTAACAAACAGGTAAAAAAGAAAACAGCTTTAACTGGGTGTGACATTTGAATATTCAGTGTTTGTAGTTACCATCATCCAACAAAGTTTGCATTCAAAAATTCATGTAACACCTGGAATGGCAAATAAGCAGTAAGAACTTTCTCAATGAACAGTTACACATCATTTTTGCAGTATCTAGTAATCTCTGAAGTTGATTTTCCCCAAAGTGTTATGTACACATCCATACAAAGACAGAGACACACACAGTTTTCTACCTGCCAGAGTGTTACATTAGGCAAGCAAATTTATATCAGTAAATCTCTTAACTATTGAAGAAAATAGAGAGAGTTTTGCAGAGAGTTTTCTCAATTTAGAAAACCCTTACATTCCATTTTGAATTGCAGGATAATATAAGCTCTCTAAAGAAGAAATCCTGAAAACATACTGCCCAAACTGTAAAGAGACTACATTATGATAGGTTCAACTTACACTGAAAAATAGTAAGTACGAACTTAAATTGAATGAAATGTAATACATGAGCTGAATCAATGCAAAACGTACAGCAACTTTTCTATCAAATGACATCAGAGAAACGGCACCTATAGGATGTTGTGACTAGCTGCCTTGTGCATGGTTCAGAGACAAACCGATAACTTCAGTCTTCGATGCGATCACTTCTTCAGCAGTAATGGCAGATTTAGCCAAAACATATGGTGGACTTTGGACACCAGAGACTTTCACAACTCAAGTGATCACTGGCAACAGGTGAGGAAGTGCAATAGCACTCTTTAGTTTCCACTGAAAAACCTGAAATAATAAACCATGCTTACAGACTCACCATTCTTGTGATCAATGGAAAATCCCTCGGAGGAAGAGAGGATTTTGTAGGAAATCATTCCATTATGGTTCGAATCCCTGTCCACAGCAGAGACTGTCAGAACAATGGCATCCATAGAAATGAGCTCTGGCAAGTTCACCTGACATATAAAGCAAAAATACAGTTTTGATTTAGCTTAATGAAAGATTTTGAACATAAAAATTTCCTTCATTTGATTTTATTAGAAAAAATACAAACACAGTTTACAGCTTTGGAAAAAGTTTCACCTAGCTGTTTTCTTCTGGGACAAAATTATAAAGAGTTGAGATATTGAAAATGATGCATACAATAGAGCCAAAATTTACAACTTTAAGCGGTAGTAAAATCCATCTAGTTCCAGTTCATTATGACAATGAGTTTAGTGAATCACTGATTTTCTTTTTTCAATAGTACACTAATGAATGGAAGGAATACCTATAATGAACTGCAACTAAAATTAGCTTTTCTCCCTGCTTTCAGAAACACCTTGATTTTTGTACATGGAATACAGTCTGCAGTCCCCAGTTGGAATATATGATTGACCATTAAAGAAACCAACACATGAACCTTGAAAATTCCAGAACCAGAGCACTTAATCATCACTGGATTATTCCTATAATTTAGTTATTAAAAAAACCGAAGTTTTTCTTCATATAATCTAGGAACCAAGCAAGTCCTTTCCCTTCTTAAGGGCTTCCATTATATGAAGTCCAGATACAGTACTTTTGTGACCAAAGTTTCCTTCCACCTTATAAATTCAACTCCAAATGAACAGTATGATACAGCAGCTACCTTTGTCATAATTTCAAGTGTTAGTTTAAATAATTTTAACAGAGTGATTATATGTATATAATAGCCATATATCTATGAAACTATATATGAAAAGTATAAATATGAAAACTTTTAAAAGGACAATAAAAGGGTAAAAATTACAGGCTGATGAATAAGGAATCACACATATCATCAACTGAGGAGAAGCAGTCTATCTTACTGTCCAAGCAACACATAAAAACATCATGCTTGTAGAGAGAAAAGCTCAGCTGTTTACGTTGGCATAGTCCATAGAGCTGCACTGTTTTGCATCAGTTAATAATCCTGCCTTTAATATCTGCTCCAATCTACAAAAAAATCTTTAGCACTTGCACAGGCAAGTACTTGCCTAAACTGTTCTCCAAAATCAGACACATATGAGGGTTAAGAAAAACTTAAGGCAAGGTCTAAAAATCTATTGAACATTAATAGTGCATTTTTTTTCCCAGAATTTAGACTTGTGAGTTTAAGTGGGCAATTTACACAAATCCTGACAACTCAGGCCCCTGAAAATTTCACAAGTACCTACAGTCTCTCCCATAGTTATCTAAGTGACTAAACTGCTGTGTCTGCACATGCTCAGAGGTTGAAATTTTTTTACTAAGCCAAATATTTAGACTTATTTCTTGACTAAATATGTCTGAGATTTATAAATGAAGCATTATTAAATCCAAGTCTTCTGTGGTGCCTCATATTTTTGGCTCTGAGCACATCTACCACACACGAAAAGCACCAAGTCAAGCAAACAGCTCAGCTCACAGGAATGGCTGAGGCTGGCAGGCACCTCTGGAGGTCATCTTGTCCAACCCTTGCTCAGAGCACGGTCACCTAAAGGAAGGTTCATAGTTGAATTTTTAATATCTCCAGGCATGGAGACTCCACAACCTCTCTGGGCCACCTGTACCAGTACTCAGTCACTGTTAGAGTTTAAAAAAAAAAAAAAAAAAAAAGTTTTCCTAATGTTTAAACAGAACTTCCTGTATTTCAGTTTGTGCCCACTGCATCTTGTCCTGTCACTGGACACCACAGAGAAGATTCTGGCTCTGTCTTCTTTTCCCCACTAGTATTCACACACACTGGTAAGGTCCTCCCTGAGCATTCTCTTTTCCAGGCTGAACGATCCTTGCTCTAGGCTCTCTTGAGCCTCAGCCCAAGCCACACAGCCTAGCCCCACACAATCAAGTCCCAAGGAACACCTCCTCTGGCAGCCTCACCTTTCCTGTGACAGCCTTATTGCAGTCTAACTTCACCTGGAGCTCCAGGCTTTGTCTCTCTTCCATCCCTAAGCTTAACTCCAAGCCATTACACATGCTGAGCCTTAGCCCAACACCTAGGGCTGCTGAAGTCAGGACAAAACCCTTTTAGCAGCCTATCCTTGAGAGCCTTGAATGATACTGTGCTCACTTTGGCAGCACATATACTAAAATTGGAATGATACAGAGAAGATTAGCATGGCCCCTGTGCAAGGATGACAGGCAAATTCATGAAGTGTTCCAGGGATCTGGGGGTGCTGGCTGACAGCAGGCTCAATATGAGTCAGCAGTGTGCCCTGGCAGCCAAGAGTGCAAACTGCATCCTGGGGGCATCAAACTCAGCATAAACAGTTGGTGAAAGGAGGTGATTATCCAGCTGTATTCAGTGTTGGTGCAGCCTCACCTTGTATGCTGTGTGCAGTTCTGAGCCCCACAATTTAAAAAGCATGTTCAGGTGTGCTCTTGAACATGTCCAGAGCAGCGCAACAAAGCTGGTGAAAGGGCTGGAAGGAATGTCCTATGAGGAGTGGCTAAGGACTTTGAGCTTGTCCAGTTTGGATAAAAGAAGGCTGAGAGGCAACCTCATTGCTGTTTCCAACTTCCTGAGGAGGGACAGGGGAGAGGGAGGTGCTGATCCCTTCTCCCTGGTGTCCATCGATAGGATGTGTGTGAATGGTTCAAAGCTGGGCCAGAGGGGGTTTAGACTGGACATTTGGAAGCATTTCTTTAGTGAGAGGGTGGTCAAACACTGCAACAGGCTTCTTAGAGATGTGGTTTTTCAGTGTTTAAGAGGCATTTGGACAATGCCCTTAACAACATAACTTGGTTACCCCTGAATTGGTCAGGCAGTTGGACTAGAAGATTGTTGTAGGTCCCTTCCAACTGAAATAGTCTATTCTATTTTACATATGTTCCAATTCATTTAATCATCTTAGTGGCCCATAGTTGTTAAAACACCTTTGTTTCAAAACATTGTTGGACAGCTTGACTTTTACAACAGTCTAGCAGTTCAGATGCTTGTCCAGAAGTCCAGAAGCTGAGCTTTGTTCCCTTACCAGTCAAAGCAGGGAACACAGGGGAGATGAAAACTCACATTCCTCACTCCCTGTGGAGTGCCATTGCTATATCACAGGGTTACACATTAGAAACTATATCTGCCTAACTTACCACGGGGGCATATGCTACACCTCAGTGATGAAGAAATTAATGCCATAGTAACAGAGCCAGAATAAATGTACCAACTTGTTTACAATTTTCCCAGAAGAAGGAAGTTCTAAATGCTGGACCCTGCTCCCCAAACTAGTTTGGATTATATCCAGCAAGTCCTAGTGATAAATGTATGGTGCGTGGAGTACAGTTAGCATTCACACCACTTTCCTTCTGAAGTCAGAAGCCACAAACATGGAAACGGAATAATTGCCTCAGTCCTTTTAGCAGAATTCCTGAGAAGGGGCTGGGGTTTCCCAGAAGAGTTCTTTGTTCTGTTTCTGCTCAGTAATAGTTTACAGAGACTTTCCTTCTCAGTGTTCAAATGCATTTTTAAGACAAATATAAACATGCACTCCTACTATTTATTCTCATATACGGAAAGACATCACATGTTTGTTGTCCGTTTGCCATGTTCCTACCTGATACGAATCCTGAGTAAACACTGGTGGGTTATCATTGACGTCCAAAACAAGGATGGTAAGTTCTGCTTCTGTTTGGTGTACAGAATCTGAAACGATGATTCTTAGCTTATACACAACAGTTTCTTCAAAATCTAACGGTTCCACCACTGTGACTACACCGGTGTGTTGATCAATGGCGAATTTCATTCCAGGACTATCATCATAAATAAAACCAAACTGAAGTGCTGGCCTGGAGTCCGCATCACTTGCTGACACCTGAGTCACTATAAAACCAGGCAGGGCATCTGAAACAGTAATTTTCAGAATAAGTCATAGACAAAAGAGGATATTAAAATTTCTGAAGATTTTGCCAATTTTATAATATTGAATCTTAGATATATGTAATCTTTCTGTATTAGTCTTTGGCATATTTTGACTTTGTGTTTTAGAATAAGATCAATGTCCAGAAATGCCACAGAAACAGCCATGCATTTCTTCAAATATATCTGCTTTATCCCAATTTTAATTTGGGTTTTCTTTAAGCTTTCCCAGATTCAGTGTAGGCATAACTGTTTCTTCACCAGTAACAGGAACTTCCATGATTCTGTCACAAGCATTTAGGTGACATGAATTTATTTAACAGTGGCACAAATTTCCACAAGAATATTCAACTGAGGCATCAGAGTCCCCTGGTCTGTGTAGAACCAGCAAATGTAATTCTGAAGCTTCTCCAAATAAGGAGGAGGCCACTAGAGAGACATGAGACCTCCATCAAGACCTACATGGCACAAAAATCTTAAGAGCTCAAGGTATAGTCCTATGAGAATGAGAAACTGGATACAGAAAGCTTATGTCATGTGCCAAATTGACAATACCAGGGATTGCAAACAGAACCTATTAGTGATCATGTAAGAAAGCCTGGAACTGACAGAAACCAAACCATTTCCCATTTGCATGTCTGGTGCATTAAAGCTCAAAAACGAGACCAGGTTGGATAGGGCTCTGAACAACCTGGTCTAGTGGGAGGTGTTCCTGCCCAAGGCAGAGGTCCCTTCCAATCCCAACCATTCTATGAAAAATGCTGTGGAATGTCCTAAAGCAAGTGGTCTTAAACAGAATACAAAAATCTAAACAAGTAGCCAGTAGTTTACAGCTGCTGTGCATCCATGACTCCCGTACTTGTTATAATCAGTAGGAGTTAAGGTTAGGAAAGGCTAAAAAATTTCACTAGAAAGACAGCCTTGATACCTTTTGTTAACAGGAATACTAGAATTTCAGCACCTAAATCTTAATAATTTTTCTGCTGTGTATATTAGTGCATCACATGTATGATGCCTGTATTTGAAAATACTGGGCTTAAGACTCAAGGTCTGCAAATGTTGAGCTAATGTCACACAACATACCAGATGTATGCTGGGTGAGAATTCAGGAGGTCCTGGGTCTTCCTCTTCATGATCATCAACTGGATCATTTAAAAGCTTCATTCATATTTACAGAAATTATTTCTTTCATCACAGTGAAGTTCAAAATGTCTCATTTCTAGCAATGCCGGTTTTAAAACCAAGTATTTTTATTGGAGAAAAGCAGAAATTGAAGACATCTGAAGAAGATGACACTGGAGTCCAAAATGAACAGATTACAGATGTATTTCTGCAGAGTTTGTTTTCCTCTTTCTGAATTGCCTATGGTTTTGTTCCAAACTATTCTTAAACACAATGTCTAAAGATTAAGAATAATGCCTCTGAGAACAAAAGCAGATCACAATTTACTTTGATATTTCAGTATTAATATGAACCATTATCCTTTTTACTACAGTTGCTTGGTTACATAAATCACAAAGAGCACTGCTGTTGTTTGACAAATCCCAATCTTAAAACTTAGCTGTACAATCACACTTACTTTCTGGGACCTCCACTTCACCTAGTGGTTGGACAACTGGAGCATTGTCGTTAACATCTACCACCTGTATCCTCACAATACTTGTAGCAGAAAGTCTGGGGTTTCCTTTATCAGCAGCTTGTACAACCAGCCTACAATTAAAGGACGCAGAAATTGTCACCACAGGTCAGAAATCACAGAATTATCCACCAATGGAAAAGAAAAGTTACAAACAAAAAGATTAGCCCTTTCTGCTCCACATTGCAACTTTTTTAAGTTCCATCATTCTTTCTGTAAGGTTGACTGTCTTAGAGTTTCATTTTTTGTGTCTTGCAGTAAAAATGTTCAGGAGATTCTACGTGGCAAAACCGTAACAAAATCATACAAAGAATACAGGTGAATACTTCCTTTTCATTTCACCCAATTTCATACCAAACAGAAGTGGTTAAACAAGATAGCAAGACTCTTTCAAATAAGACACTTTTCTCCACTTGGTAATTCAGAGAAGAAATTAAAATTTAAGTACTAAATTGTCCTTTGGAGGAACCTGACTCTCTTCATTGTTTATAAAGTGACAACAGGACTGTCAAAATTGGGTAATATGAAAACATCCAAAGTAATATTCAACCAAAATGTCATTTTTCAGAATTGTGTGTAGAATACATGCACCATTTGACGTTGGCAAAGTTCCCACTGATTTTAGTGGGACCAGAATCTCACTGTCAGATTAAGAGAGTTTCCCTGTATGCTGCCATTTTACACCTGAATAAGGATGGCTAAGTGATTCTGTTAACAGCCTTTTGATCTCCACAAACAATGTAGCAAAGAAAACAGTAAACAACAAAGTGATAAACAGTGATAAAAGGATGTTTACTGTGTGGGAACTAGCTTCCTAACAATAAAGATAAAATGTTAATCATAAGCAAAGACAATTTGGAAGACTTTACCCTCCCCACTATTAAAAACTAACTAGAAAGGAATTCAAAATTAAATCTAACTCAACAGGTGCTCTAAAAAAGGAACAGAGGAAAACCAGAAAACATCAAGCTACGTGAAACGATATAAAGTCAGAGCCTGGCATCTCAATTAAAGGCTTTGCGTACTAATTACTGTTTGCATGTCGCGCCAAGCTTTCTGGGTCTCCCTGCACATCTTCTGAATGCTTCAGTTCTCCTATTTTCTAAGTCACAGTTTCTGTTTAAAGTGTCAAAGAGATATTACTTCCTAAATGTCCACATGACAATATGGAATACCAAGGCTGTAAACTCAAGTCCTGGATTGCAGTGCTTCCATTCCTGAACCACACCAGTTCTGCTCTGGGTGTCCTTGTGGTTTCTGTCACCGACAGAACACATAACTTGGATTGCAGACTAGTATTCAATCAGTGACCATATATAATTCCGTATAGAAAGTGTATTTTTTTTAGAATGAATATCGGTAAGGTATACATATGGAAATATTTTACTAAAAATAATCACTTTCTAAGGTTTCAGGAAAAAACTCTCATAGAAACATTTCAGCCAAGGCATTAAAATTAAGGTTCTGTCAACACTTTCATTATAATTCCTATTATAAGGGGCTTAGAACTTCTGGGGATGAAAATGTTCAATTTAGATAAAATAAACAAATCCTTGCAAATTTGAAAGAACCAGTTGTAATATTTTGAAATTAAACAGGAAAACAGTTCTGAAAGCCTCTTTCGCTATTCACTTCTCACCTAACAATGTACAGATTAAAGCATATTAAAAAAGAGAAAGAATATGAAGCTTCAGATTCCTGAAACAAATGGTCAATTTAAATGGCTAGAATTCCAACATAAATACTGAAATATATCAGGCTCCCAGTTAAAGACAGATATGAGAATTATTATGCTTACATGTTCAATGCTTCATCAGCAGTAAACATTCTTCCTTTGAAGGATTTATTCTAGGCATTCTTTTGAAGTACTAGTTACAAATAAAATGTATTATGATATTTAAATATCTGAAAAATCAGAACTGATGTTTTCGATTCAAGGAAAAACTGAAAAATAAAATCCAAATGATGTGTTCTGTTTATTAAGTTAAAACAAAGTATTTCCTTTAGGACACTATTATCAAATTACACTGATATTTACCAAAAAAAATCATATTCTGTTGATCTTTTTGATGTGGCTCCCTAAGAGTTGTTCTGGTTCATAAGAATTTGGATTGGTTGTTTAAAACTTTGAGGCCCCAGAGGATAAGAAAACTTGCAAATATTGTAACTGATGCCACAACCATATGAGGAAGGGAAAGAAAAAAAGGTAATTTCTATGACACATACACAGAAATCTGCTTTTTGCACAGATTGTAACACATAAAAAGAGAGTATTAACGAATTTGCATACTCATATTTTCTCTTCAAGGCATGATTTATTTGCTTTGTAATTCCAATTATGGCATAATCTGTAAAGAAAAATTGTTATGTCCACTTGATCATATTTACTCACAGGTTTTTGGAGAACAGGAAAAAATTAAAACTTTATACAAGACATCTTAAAGATCTAAACAGTTTACAGAAGCATCTTTATCAGATTATGGAGAAGAAAATTTGGACTATATTCTAATTAAGGAACAGAACGTGTACCTATTTCTTGGATTTAGTTTAAGAGCTTCCAGAGAGGGAATGGCTATACCATTCTTAATAAGCTAAAATTCGAGAACTGTCATCATTCCTATAGCAAATTATCACACTCACTTATATCAGTAAGTGTTGCCATTGATTAAACAAGACTATATTTCTTCCCCTAAATTTAAGAAGTACACAAGAACCCATGGTACAAATGAACAGCTTTAGCGCTGTTTTCAGTGTTGTTTGACTTGTACCCAGCCTCTATAGATAATGAATATCAAGAGAAAACTATAAAATACATAACAAGAGCAATCTCAAGTTAAAGTCAACAAAAATAAGAATACTTTTTTATAAGACCCTTGCATACAAACCTGTAAGATGAAGTGTTTTCATGATCTAGGACTGTATTAGTTGCTAAAATCCCTCGTGCTGAATCAATTAGAAATGTTGCATTTTCATTACCAGATAAAATTGAGTATTCAGTTTCTCCGTTCAGCCCACTGTCAAGGTCAGTTGCAAATACCTGTTTGGGAGCAAAACTGAGGCTTAATTCAAAATGGTAAAACAAGATTGCAGAAAGAAAACCCTTATAATAAATTTTCTGGCTACTTTCCTTTCAACTGCACAGATTTAAGCAAATATTCATATTGGTCCCAAACACGTCACGTGAGGCGACAAAATCTGCTCATGAATTGCAATAGGATGCACATGAATCCTTTCCCTGAGTAATTTGAAATTCAGCTACATAAAGCAGTAGGGCTGAATGTAATAATTTCACACTGCTTATATTACTATAAGGTTGCTGTTAGAATGCTGTCTCTGTTTAGTGCATAAAAATGCACTCTCTGAGGGATCTGGGACTGCCCCAGTGTTACTGCTGTACAAAAGGACAAAGGGTAGCATAATTAAATAATTAAGTTTTCAGAGCTTTCATAGAATAATTCATTAATTACTTTTTAAAATACGAACCAAAAAATGTAAAAAAGGCAGAAGAAAGCTATAAAACCAAAAGAATAAATAACATGCAACAGCAGTGAACAGGTTTCTCAAAGACCTCTCTGACTCTTTGAAGAGTTGTCTTTGTGTTTTTCTGGTTGCTGCACAAGCATTATAATGAGTACAGGATCCAAACCATAGCAGAGGCAACCAGTCAGACTGAATAAAGGAAACATAATAGAATGTATTCTGTCATAAAATCTTGACTACACATCTGGGTTGACTGCCTTTTGATTTTTCTTCATTCCTGGACATATGTTTCTCTAAATACAATGTCCATCAGTTTCTAATCACTTTGCCCTGGAGGCATTTGTAGCTTTCCATTTATTTATTCTCTAGAGGAGGAATATCTTTAGTACCTGACATGACCCTCACTGTGACCTGACTTGCAACGCAAGAACATATACTGAGGAAATTATGCGTTCTTCTAGGCCAACTGATGTCTTCGTTTGCTCTAACACAGCCAGCTGGAAACACTTTCAGAGAATGGATCCATTCAGAGGAAGAAGTGTTTGCACATTTAAATTGAGACAAGCTGCTCTTTAGGCATCAGATTTTAAATTGAACACTTGGGTTTGACTCTACTAGTCTGATGAGTTGAAAGTATTCTTTTTATTGCTATAGCCCTTTCAGTAGATGCATTAATGCAAGACCCAGCCTATATTGTAACCAGAACCACAGCTTTGTATGGTATTTTTCAACTACTTGAAGAGAGAAACACAAAATTAAAAAAAAAAAAACAAAACAAAAACTAATTTGAAGTCCAGCTGCACAACTATTAAGAGGACAGAGAATTCTCTTTCGACTTAAAAAACTCCAATGAAAGATCAGAAATGTGGTCTAGAAAAGAAATAATCATTTAATATTTTAAATATCCAAGCACAGCAGTAGTAACATCAAGAACCCTACTCTCAATTTTTAAATTGCAGAGTTACAGTGGTCCAGAGTAGACCTAGCAGGACTGTAGTCAGGAACAGATCAACCAAACTTCTTTTTAATTACAACACTAGGCTTTGGAAGATATATTTCCACTTACCTGTAAAATGTCTGTTTTAGGACTTTCGCCTTCCCATACTGATACTTTGTAATAGCTTTGCTCAAATTTAGGTACATTGTCATTCACATCTTGAATCAAAACTGTCACTCCACAGAGTGCTGAATTCAAGCTATTTTCAGCCAAAACTGAAAGATGTATTTTATTCTTAACTTCATAATCAAGAGACTTTGGCTTTTTTACTGTGATTACACCTGGTTTATTAAAATAAAAATAAAATAAATCAATATAGGGCTTACGTAGTCAGGAGAAAACACCCACAAATGCAGTTATGAAATCCCTCATGTTTGTGGTCTCCTTCCTTGAACACGACAGAATTGCAGCAAGCTTCCCAGCATGTCCTTCCTCTACCTAACATCACCCCCTGCACCCTGTACAAATCTCAGACAGCTGAGTTTTCACTGACCAGCCACTATACTGGCAATGTCCTAAAACAAAGCAGATTTACTCGGAGAGGGAAAGAAAGGAAGAAACTGGCGGTGTGCCATGTGCTCCTTGACATCTGTCACCCGTGTCTCACCAGAGAGTGCCACATCTAGTTCTCCCTCTGTACCCAAATCAGGCAATATCTGTACCAATTTCTGTCTCTGACTGACATAGAGGTAAAACACTGACTTGCGATGCAGTGAGCACACCCCACCTCCTCCCAGTTGTTATTCTATCAAAAAGAAATAATAATTTTCAATTCTTTCAACACACATTCAAATAAATATGAATAAAAACTGTCCAACTGCCAAGACAGACTATTGAGGAGTTGCAGAATCACTATCACTGGAGGTTTTTAAGAACATGATAGACAAACTTCTGTTTATTTAAGCAAAGCTGATTCCCTTTCTCTGTCAGACAACAAATTAGTTCATGTCTTTGGGTCACTTCCTACATGCTTTATATGATTCTACAATATAATAAATCCCCTAGAACAGCACAAAGTCTTCTCCAAAATGGGGTTAATTAATATCAGTGCTTGAAAAGACATGTAGAACACACCTTTGGCTGTTTAGAATACCTAAGATAGAAAGGGCATCGATATAACTCAAAATTCTTCTGCTGTAAAAACAATAGGTAGAGAATTACTGGTGTCAAAATTAATGCTGAGGTAAGAACTGCTCTTAAAAAGTCCGGAAAGGCTACACTTCAAATAATATTTTCTAAGAAACAGAAGTCGGGTTTCAGAAGAAAGAAACAGAAGTAACCTCAATGGCTCAAGTATCTCAAAAGAAGACTTTTGACATCTGCTGCTATAGAAATTCCATGATCACTTGTGAAGAGAGTGCTTATGAGACTCTTAAAAACATCATGTAAACTTTTTTCAGACTGGCTTGAGAAAAAAAAAAATAATTAATTTTGGTTCTTTTTTTCGTTTTTTTTGGAGGTGATGTCACAGAAGATTCACTTTCTTGGGGATAAACTTGGTGGCTCTAAGATGTTATTTAAGATTAATCTTTCCAGCTTTATCTCAGTGAAATAAGGAACTGGAAATCAAGTATATGCACTTCAGGTGGCCCTCATCTAAAAAAACCAAAAATTATTTTAATTGTCCACCAGCAACAATCATGGTTACTTTACAGGAGTACACCAATTGATGCCTGGAGACATTAGAATAATCAGAAATTAAAGCCTCCAGGAATTCAGGGAAAAAGCCACTTGTTAAGCGGACAACCTATTTAGACTCTGTCTGAGGAAAACAGCGGACAGTGTCTATGCCATCCCAGAAAGACTCCAGCTATTCAGAAAGCAAAGTCTTTTGCTGCAGGTATTTAGGAGCTGAGAGGCAACCAGAGAAGCTATGCTTTCTTACATGCCTTAGATGAGAGCACATAAATGCACAAGGGGAACACACTACTCTCCTGCCATCAGAAGTTCCTCACTGAAGAGCAGATGAACACAGACCTGCTGCAGAACACAAATACAATCACCAAAAAAATAAACAAACATGACTTTCAGAATTGTCAACGTTTGTCTGGTGCAAAGACCCATTAAACTCAGCAAGGGTCTAATGCTTTCTACATTGGGAGTATTTTGAAGGATTATGTTTATTGAGTTTCTGGGCAACTTTATGATGAGAAACAAGATGGAGTCTCAGCTTGGATCACAAAGCAGCAGTTTATCAACTCCAAACACCTGGTGAACATTATAGTTAATCAGAACTGAGCATTTGAAACCAGTACACTGGTGTACAACTTCTTTCCATGTCAAGTTTACACTAGTGCAGGTGTCTCCATATCCCTCGTTTTATGGATGTAACAGGAGAGTAATACTCTAAGAAATATACCCCTTGTTCTTGCTATATTTTGGAGACCACACTCTTTAAGCGACACACAGAGAATTGACAAAAAAAATATATTTATAAAAATGTACCTGTAGTGGGGTGTATGTAGAATATGTTTTCCTTGTCACTGAAGATGCTGTATTTTATGTTTTCTCCTGTAAGTTCGTGTTCATAAGCTTCTACTGTTAGAAGTGATGTACCTATGGAAGCAATAAGATGTTTTCATCATGTCCACTTCAGAAGGTTTTATTCTAGTTTTATATTATTGTGATTAATAGCAGATGCATAGCCAAACTCCTCTATACTAGGCTACCGGCTTATTCATGAATTAAAATAGTAAACAATAAAAACAACTCCTCCATGACTTTCACTGCATTACAACTTCATAGGCAAGGCACTGACAATCCTTCCTTGCTCAGTAAATTACTCATCTGATCATAATTTCATCACCTGCTTAAATAAAATGATGTGTTTTCACTTTTCCTAATTGCAAACTCACATGTACCAACAGAATTACCTCTTACCTGAAGTTGCATGTATTCCTTTTATTCAGGTTATGCTGTCTTTGGTCATTTAAATCTTACTTTTTTATTAATCCTTTTAAGGAAAATAGTACTTTTTTGTGCATCACAGGAATGCATGTTATCCCTGAATCATGATAAAAAGTTTACTTATCCTTCATTTATCTAAATTCAATTTGGGTTTTTAAACAACATTTGAAATAAAATATTCTTTAAAATTTTAATTAGCCATCTTCTAACAGAGAGAATGAAAAGATGAAACTACATGCATAGCTGTGTCTCAATTCAAGCAGAATCCAAATTCAATGGAAAAAGCAATGATTTAATGTAGAATACAAGAGACATGAAATAAAAATCCTGTTTGAAACAGGATTAGAGGAAAAATGTGGAACAGAATACATTATCCTGTTCAGAATCATCATGTTTAACAAAAACATAGCAAGTTTAAAAAGTATTATCAATATTTCCAAAAAAATATTCTTCTCAAGTGAGTTATGAAATCATTTAGTATATATGGTAATTGATTTTAAAGGATTTTAATTATGCAATTTAATTGTAATTGATTCCATGCAACTGGGATGGAATGAGGTTACTGTGCAACCTGAACTCTTCCAAACAGCATTACAGACAACTAGCTATTTTATTACATTACAAAGGGCATGTTGTTCATGCTCAGTGTCCTGAATGTTGGAGGAAAGCACTTTATCTTTAGTGTAAAAATGAGAGGAAACATTCCTCTTAAAAATATCTGCTACCTTTTTTATTTTAGCTTTATTACATATTAATTTTTAAAACCAGGAAATTTTGTTTTAAGTGGTTTGTCATTTGCTCCTAAAATCTGACTGTCAAAAGCAAAACCACGCTGATTTTGACAGATATAATTTTCTGTACTACTCAATATATTTACTAGAAAAGTTCTGGAAGATCCAACCTTCCAACAGATAAAGACTGATTTAAACTCTGCACCGTTTTTTTGAGAACTAAAATAGGGGGTTGTAGGTTGAATTTTCATTGCCAGGCAAGTTTGATTTACTAGAGAAGCCTGCAAAGGCAATCATCCTCAGAGCAGAGTTAAAGATAAGAAAAAAAAAAATCCAAGGTCCAAAGAATGTCACTATTTATCTTCCAATACTGTCAGCAGACTTTTTGTTTGTTTGCTTATGTATTTAAAAAGAAAAACTACAAGTAAAGGAACCAGGAGCACTTCTACTTGAATCCCTGCTTTTCAGGTGTTCAGTTAATAAATTGTTGCTCTGGGACCTCAAATCCTAAGACTTTAAGTTTCATATTTTCATGAATTGTTTTCCAAACTGTTTGAAACTTCTTTTTTGGCAGAAAAAAAATTTTCTTGTTTCTGGTACCTTTCACAGAAAATGACTCCTTCAAACAGTATATTTTTACAGTTCATTGTCAATAAAATACAACCAAACTGAGGTCTGATGAGTACCCATCGACTGGAGCTCGCAATTTCAAGTACACAGGATTAAAATACTGCTTCAAGCAGAGGTCATAACACGTGACACATAAACCAGAGAAAATTAAGAGAAAGGCAGCTTTCTGGCTGCAAAGTACACTGAAACAGCATGACGAGGATGAGATCAACACTGAAGCTAGTGAGGAAGGAGGGAGAACAGGATCATAGCAGAATGCAGTCAAATTGGCTTGAAACGCTATGCAATCAATTTATGGATTAGTTAACAATATTAAAGGAAGTGAAAAATTATTTTAAATGTTTGTATTTAGGGTTATTTTCCAGTTCAATCAGACAACCTGATTGCATTTGGAAATATCTTAAGCACTTTAAATAGCCAACATATCAACCTTTACATTATGCCTACTGACTTGAAACTGAAGTATGGTAGCATGGACAGTATTTGCCTAACTGGCCAAATAGACTCAAAGACTTTTGTTGTACTCTGTGTTTGGATATAACATGCACACCAGAAATGAGCTACTGTATAATCTACATCACTGTTTTTCTCTGTTCTGTACTCATTATAGCAGTCTCTTTTTCCCTCCTTGTTCATCTAACCCCGGTTCCTCCTTGCCGTTACCTCTTGAGATGTCATAATTGCTAATGAAAGAAAAAGCTAACTGAGCATAAAGAGTAAGAGATGACTTACAGAAAGAGGCAACATATTTTATATCTATTAGAAAAAAAAAGAACAAGCAGATAAGTCAACAAGTTTTGCTGGTGAATCTGTCTCCAATGAAGTGCTATGCAAACAACCATTCAAGTGAAAGCTCAGTGAATAATAACAGTCTCTCTGGAGACTGCAGTGATTTTATTATGTATTGACTGGCTTCTGAGTGCCTGTTGTAATGCAGTTTATAATATTTAAAAACATTAAATATGTAATATTAAACAAAAAGTAGAAGAATGGGGCTTTCTGAAGGTCATTAAACTTGGAGGTCAAACACCTTAAGAAAACCTGACCACAAGGACCAGTTCCTGAGGCACTCACGCAATTGACAAGTTTAGACTAAATTAAAACTAAGTACCCTTGGCTTTGGCCTTCGTCGTTTATACTGTTCAGATTTTTTTATTCTTTTTAAAATAAACTTAGAGTTTTCCCACTCTATTAGTTAAGGCAGAAATAAAATTAGGAGGAAAAGCCACATTTATTAATACCAGTTCTACAAATAATCAGTATGTAATGTAAATCTCCCCTGGACTGCATACACTGGTACCATTCATACTTATAGGGGTCCCAGGATCACATATATCCTGTACACTAACTTCTGTGAGAGTTTTAATTACAATCATGCTTTTTTCCCCACTGAAATGTAAAATATTTGATATTTACTTATGCTTATTTATATAAGTAAATACTACAAACAGAGTGAAAAAAGTATTAGTATTTGGTAAAGTCTCTCATACTCTTAAAAGAATTTGATCTACTAAAATTTTGGGATGAAACCTTAATGTTTACCCTGAAGCTTTGCTAAATTTCTTTTAATCAAAACAACTTAAAATAGAATCTTATTTACATTTTCTATAGATTGAATAGGAGAACATTCTGTTATCTCAGGTCCTTGGGGCATCTCCTTAATTTCAGGCTGGATTATCTACCTTGACACACAAATGTATCTACACTTAAGAAAATTTAGGATCAGATTAGCTTGTCTACTGCTGTAAAGCTCTGAAATTTATGTTCATTTTTTAAACTTGTGTCCTAACAAAATCTATTTTCCCTTTTATTATTTTTTCTTAACTAGAAAAAAATTTAATGTAGGATTAATGCAGGTTAAGCCCATCTCCCCTGAAAAGACTGAAACTCCAGGGTTTTGACCTTACTGCCCTGGGAAGGCTGACAAATAAGTTTTCACAACACTTTCTGAAAATACAAGATTGCTACAGCAAGGGAGAGATTAAAATTTGAGAGCCCAGGGCTCGCCACTGGAAACACCCTGGGTCTCTCTGCTTTCCAGACACCTAGGATGGAAGGCCCCCATACATCACCACAATTGACTCTTAATGGGTAGATGAATGCTAAAACAGAAAACAAGAGATTAACACACATGCTGTGGCATCTGATCCGTATCTTCTGGAAGCAGCAATTCCCCCAGGGCAGACTCTCCTTTGCAAAGTGACACACAATTAATTACTGTACAGTGCTGAGGCTAGTAAAGCAGGGCTTGAAGGCCTTGAGGTATCTGTGACTCATTCACAGAAAAATTCATTTTTAGGGTGTCCAAAACAACCTGTAAATCCTGGTCAAATTAAAGGAATAAAAAGTATTTTTTGAATGTCAGGACAAATGTATTTAGGATTTTTTTTTTTTTTTTTTTGTAAGAGAAGCAATAAATGAAGCACTGGTTTAAAAAAGACTTCTTAACCCATAGATTCTGTACTCAGAGTACTCAGTATGGAGTGAAAGGGAAATGCTCCTCTGCCTGAAGAGACCCGAATCTACACCTTTCAATATTTCATGGGAGTGTTTTAACCACCAGGCTAGTGCATGCTCCAGTCTTTCCTGTTGGAAGCCTTCCACATTTTCCAAAATCCCACATGTTTTTTGACAGACAGGGAGAGAGCTAGAAGGATGCTCTAACATGGTGGTTGGATCACTCATCAAAGCTTTTAAAAAATAGCCTGAAACAAAAACATTTCATCTATGGTTTAAAAAAGTCACTTAATTAAAAAAAAAAAGGCGCCTTAATGCTTAGTTTTGGTCTGTTAATTGAAACATCTGTAGTACTCACAGCATTATCTTTATCTTAAAATACACTGCTGACAATTTGGCTTGTAGTTCCAAACAGGCACAGAGGAAGGAAAGGCTGAGTAATCACAGCAGTAATTAGTGCAACACCCATCTTCACCCTTCATTCTCTACTCTGTTCATAATTATCCAGAATATTGATTGGTTTTCCAAAATTATTAACACATTTATTTTTTACCAATTCCAAATCAAATATATGGGCTGTTATTCAAGATCCAAGAATTCACTAGTCTGACAATACCCCTAGGATATAAAGGAATATTGCTTTCATTTTACTGAGGGAAATTTGAACTATAAAGACGATAAATGACTCGTTCAAGGTGAACAGTGAGGCAGTGTTTGAACCAAGAATATAGTGCAGGTCAGATCTCTAAATATGCCTGGTCAATTCTACAGTGAGATTTGTGGGCAGAAAGATGCGAAAGGCACTCCTTTCTGCCCCTCATTAGGATGAGCCCATCCCCTGAAGCAGAAAAAGGTACTTACCACATCTAATTGTTAGGAGGCATAACGGCTAATATTCTCTGAATGGTAAAAAGTACCATTTACTACAGTAATTCTGCTTATTATACAGAATAAAAACAAAGAAATCCGTATGCACCTTGTGTCTGAAGCTGGTTTGTCTAGAGGTAGCATAGCTTATACCTGGAGATATACTGTAGGAGCCTGCTCTAGTGACAATGTACCACAGCCTCCAAACTTCTCTCCCCTTCACCTCACCCTCCCCCCATTATTTTTCTTCTGGAAAGTCAAAAACTTCAGTAAGGTTTTAGAGTATCTCTGGAATCTACTACAGTTAATGAAGGGTTTTGCAAAAACCAGAAATGTCATGTTGCAACTGGTACATACCACTCATCTCATCCGGTCTTTTATGCATGGACAAGTGAAATACCGAGTAAATAGTACCCACCCATCATTAAAGTTATTTTGCTAAAAAAGTGAACCCACTGATGCTCAGGTCTTCCCAGGCTGAGGGAAACACACCACATGGGAGCCTTCTGTTCAGTGTGAGCATCACTGTTGTACAAGGGCAGCAAACTCAAGAGACAGACTATGCCTTCAACTAACAGACCATGCTTCTTTTTCATGCTGGTGCACTGGAAAAGGGCAGATGGGTATTTGCTACACCCAAATTAACTTTTCCCTGCCACCGCACAGGAAAAAGTTTTCCCTATGCTACTCATTACAATTACCACTCCAAAAGGAGGGGAGAGGGGCAACTGCAAGAACATAAATTGGGATATGATACCCACCTGCTGCACTGTTCTCAGGCACACTTGCTTCATACAGGCTACGGCTGAATGAAATCTCCTCCTTTTGTTCTTCTGTAAAGATAATGACCATGGCTGTGGCTGTTCGAGGTGAGATACCTTGATCTGAAGCCATCACTAGCAGCTGGGTACTGAAGTCCTTGGAAGCCAAGGGCTCCTGAAGAATGATGTCACCTGTCTTCGTGTCGATCTGAAATACAGTTTCCACTATCATAAAACTAAAAACAACAGCTCCATTTGGTCCCAGATCCATGTCCTCTGCTTTCACAGTGGCTATGGTCTCATTCACACGGGTTTCAGCAGGCACAAAGGCCCTGATAGGATTCTGAAAAAAAACAGGATCATTGTCATTGACATCATCAATGTGCACCACGACACTGACAGTGGTGCTTCTCGGCAAATGGGTGCTACAGTCACTTGCCACAGCCCTAAACGTATACTGGGATTTGGTCTCCCGGTCCAGTGCCTTTGTAGTAACTATAGATCCTGTTACACTGTCAATAGCAAACGCTCCGAAGGTGTCATCAATGAGGGAATACGTAACTTCACCATTCAGGCCATCGTCTTTGTCAGAAGCAAAGAGGTCCAGGATGGCTGAGCCTTCCTCTAGGTCTTCTCTCACAGAGATTTGATACTGGGTCTTTGCAAACAATGGGTTGTGGTCATTTTCATCCAAGACTGTTAGATAGAGCTGTGCAGTGGAGCTTCTTGAGGGACTGCCTAGGTCACGGCACTCAATTACAAGAGTGAAATTGCTGACATCTTCTCTATCTAAGCTACGAGTGACCAGCAGTTTTCCTGAAGTGTTATTCAGTGTGAAGTATCCGCCAACATTTCCACCTTTCAAACACATAAAAAATAAAATGATCACAAACAATTGCTTTTGAAAATAGAATCCCTTGTGAATATCGCTATGTTAATTGCAATAACATGATCGAATTGCTCGTACAGCTGGTGCGCTCATGTGCTGCTCACATATTTTATTCCTCTTAAACGAATTAAAACCTGCATTTCATTTAAATCAGTGGGTGGCAATAACAGTAAATACAGAATGTCATATCAATTTATGGAGCGGCTATTTTCCTAGATGCATATCTTTTTTTCCCCAAAGCAGCACACCTTATAAAATCTCCTGCAACTATGCTGCCACATAAAGTGACCTCTTCCCAAACTTAGTTACAAATTCCAGAAACCTATAAAGTATTGCTGACAATTGTAATTACTTGCTTCTTCTTCTCTTCTACAAACCTGTCTCTTGAAAGTGAATAGTTGTGCAAGGTCTTGATTTGGGGGGCATGGGAAGGGGAAGGTAAATATGAAGCAGTGGACAGAAAAGTCAGCATTTTTAGTAACAGAGAATGGCATACATACTTTGTAACATGTAGAAAGACCAAAGATAATTAAATTAGAGATAATAAAAGATTGTGAAATTAAAACCAAGAAAACATAAAGGAATTCATAACTATTTCTTCAAAGAAAAATGTGTTGGCTGTTACCACAGTAGCTATCTGCCTACATTTGAGCTATTGCTGAGAGCCACAAACCAAAGGAAGCACAGCAAACTTCTATTTGTGCAAAGATATTACAGGAGGCTTTGGAGCTTACATTGGCATAGCAGACATAGGGAGAGTTTGGCAATATGAAAACCAAGTATGACATTACTAATTGCTGGGTGAAAGAAGCTCTCATGAAATTGAATTAAATAAATAAAATTAAATAAATAAAATTAGATTAATTCTTCTACTTATTTGCAAGGCTATATTTACACTCAGAACTTCCACAACTATAACAAAAATTGCAAAATTATGCCTTCATGATTAATGCCTCCTTCCAGCATTTGGTAGTTTTTTGTTTTTCTTTTCTGTACTATTTCAAATCCAGAAAGCAAACTGAAAAGTATCCCTGGAAAGTGCTTATTAATGCTGACAAAGGGGTGAAAGATCTTTTTTTTTCCCCCACATGAAAGAAGCATGTGGACAAGATGGGAGCTAGGGAGGCCTGGTAAATTCAAGATTAGTTTAAAACATGGGTACTCCTGTTTATATACTTCCTGATTTATACTAACAAAAATGATGGGGTGTAACTTACCAATTATTTTGTATCTTAGAGCTCCATTATTGCCAGCATCCATATCGATAGCCCGGGTAACATAAATGACAGAAGGCTGTTGGTTCTCTGGGATATGGATCTCAGAGGTGGGAAGAAGAAACGTGGGAGAGTGATCATTTTCATCCAGCACTGTGCAGATAACTGTCACTGTGCTCGACAGTGATGGGGTTCCACTGTCTCGAACCAAAACTAAGATTAATAAAAAGAAAGCGAATTTCATCCATTTGTTGTGGGTGCAACAATATATGTTCCTTAATAGCAGAATAGGAGAGTTATTTGTGCTATGCAAAAAGCATATGCTCTTCTGTACCTGAAAATCTTATCCCTTCCACCTTATTTAGATGGCATGAAAAAAAAGTAAGACTGGCAGTAACACCAGACCCATTGTCATTTCACATTTTACAGGCACTCACAGATACTTCACGCTGTTACCTTTAATACTGAAAACCTCCTCGGTTTCCCTGTCCAGTGATGCAGTTGTTATGAGCTCTCCACTGTCCAGGTTCATCTTGAATTTCTCATAACCAGTTCCTGGTAAGATTTCATACCGAAGCAAGGAATTCAGTCCTTAAAAGGAGAGTGGAAACCTTAGTAAAACAGCCACTCTCCTCACATTCAGGTCTACAGATTTGTCTCTTTCTTCTTCTCCCCTCTGGGAAATAGGTTATGAATTAAATTATTATTTTTAATGCAGTGAGTAACAGCTTCTTAATTAGCATAAAAGATCCAAATTTAAACTTTGGATCTTCAAAATCCTTGTCCAGATGCTGCTTTGTGCCCAAGTTTTCCAGCCACTCGAAGTGAACCCAGCAACTTTTCTAGGTACTCAGGGCATGTCTCCAAACAAGCTGACATATCAACATGGTACAATAGAGCATTAACTTAGACCGTGGAATCCACGTGTTTGTCTTTTGATCTCTCTGAGGTAGTTAATTTCTCAACAGGATGTCAGGCAGAGTACCGAGCTGCTCTGGTTCTCCACTTAACTTCACTAGAACCAATGCGAGTATCTCTACACAGTACCACACTGAACAGTACAACATTCAGAGAAAACACCCAATTCTTGGCATGCCCACAAATTCTAAATATTCATAATAGTGAGCAGGCAGGTGCCTAAGTCCCATCAGGGCTCACAGGGCAGCCATCTCCTAGTTGCCTTCAACAGAATAGCCAATTTGGTGGACATTCCCACAGCACATCTCAGGCCTTTTAGACTACTCCCTCTTGTAGCCAGACTCTGAAATGCTACTGCTTGGCTTTATAAAGTTGTGCAGGATTTCCAGAAGGGAAGGTTAAAGAATTTCTTTCTGTCCACATTTTTATGAATGCCAATTCCATTCAGTTCCTAATCAGGCATACTATTTGTATATAGTAGAGGGATATTAACCTTCCTGTCTTTCTCTAGAAAATAGGCTAAAACTGTACAGGCTTTTAAAAACCTTCCTTTCAAACTTGCCTGCCTGAGTTGAACAAGAAATGTGACTCCACAATCTTGCCTATTATGGTTATAAAATAATTTCTTTCACATTTCTTCTAGTTTCAACACCCTCCTGAGGAAAGTATAATGTCATCTCCATCACACTTATATTATTAACTTTAATGAGTTTAATTCTACATTATACTTGAAGGGTTTGTCCTATTGTGCTTTCTTTTTTTTTTTTTTTGCAATTTTTTCTAAGTTTCATTCAATCATTCTGTGTTTTTCTAACCAATAATTGGTCTTTTAGTAGGGTAGGGACAGTTGACACACCTGGAAAACTACAGCACTCCTCGTCATACGAAAACTGCTATTCAGAGTCAAACACTGCCTGCCTGTTCTCATCTGCTGCAGTTGAAAACAGGACAATCTGCACTGGAGTTTATGGAGAAACACCACTGTGAGAGAAGAAACAGATCCTACACTTTTTAACATCCATGACTTCCTTTGTTTGCCTTTGAATAGCTTTGCTAAGTAGTTGACAACACTGCTGAAATTTGATTAAGAGAATTATTACTGTACATGCATTTGCTCCTAAAGTCGAGGGACATATTCACATAATACACAGCAGTAGGAAAAATGAGTTACAAAAATCCTTTCAGCTTTCCAGAAGAATGGAGAAAAATCACAGCAGTAAGGGCAATCAAGGAGAATGCCTTGAAAGTTTAAGGTTACCAACACACACTATCTGAACCGCCCATATTAGATACCATTCAACTACATTTAAAAAGATATTCACAGCTCTGCCTGCATTTATCTATACTTAACAATGCTACAGATGGAAAAAAAGACACATGACACTGCAGGGCTGATATTAACTATTAACCTTTGGTCTCCTGCAACTGAACTACTTCAACTCAGTGCCTTCACTGGCAGATTTCACAATGGACATTTTTTACAGACAGTACTGGAAAAACATACAGGTGCCATGCAAGTTGACTACTCACACGGTGTTGAAACAAAAACTTTCAATTCTTAGAGGGCACAGATATGGGACACCTTCATTACACTTATTTACCAAGCATTTACTGCTTGCTTTCTCATATTTGTCTGCTAGGAGCATTCACCTAGCAGTAGGAGAAAGCTGCACAGCCTGTCCAAGAGAAGAGTGTGATGACTCTAGACATTCACGCACCATGGCACAGCAGGTGACACGTTTGCACTTGATCCAACCTGTTGGTTAATTATTCAGTAGTGCTAGTCACATTTTGGGGGCTGAAATTACAAACTGAAATAAGAAACAAACTATTATTCCTGCACGTTATGAGCTGGAGGAGGAGCTAAGCCCCTTCCTTGCCACTGCTCCCCTTTCCCTGCAGGCCAAATGGCAGGTTGGACACGTTGTGCCTGAGCTGCAGCCAAGGAAGAGCTCCAGCCCCTTTTCCTGTTCCCCCACCACAGCACAGGCAGCCCCTGTGCTCCCACAGCTTCTTGGAAGCAGCAGCCATGGTATTACACTGTGGATATGTCTAGTGCCAACACCAGTGAAGAGCAATGGGAACAAATGTCTCCACTTCCCCAAATCTAAGCTCAAGTCTCATCTTTGTAATACTAGTATTGCTAAAACCATGATAATCTATGAATATGAGCAAGACAAAATCTCTGGTGAATGGCAGAGAGCCCTGTCTTGTAACTAAGCCAGCCAGTCCTTATTAACCTTCTGAGATTTTTCTTGTAAGGCTGCAGGCATAACTACTGCACCTCAGAGATGCACGTCAGCTTAATAGCAGACCTCGACAAATGTGAGTTCAGTTCATTCAGAGCTTCTGCAAAGATGCATCTTAAGACAAACCCCTGACCTATCTTAAATATCCTGTATCTTTCCTGTGTGTTGTATGCTTTCCCGCATCCATAGGATAAGACATCCACATTGAGATCCACAAGAAAGAAAATCATTACAAGGAAAAATTTTAGTAGCAATTCACAAAACAAACAAACAAACAAAACCAGAAAAGGCATTTCAAGCTGGAAGTTGAAAGCTTGGATCTTGCGTCAAACACAAATAAGGTGATGGCTGCTTTCTATCCCTCTTCCCTTACAGGGAATGAAGTAAAAAGACAAATAAAACAAAAGGTTGATGATGGCCGATACTGTCAGTAAAAAGGATTCCTCCCTGTGGTCAGTCAGGGAACATATGAACTGAAAAAAAAAAAAAAAAGCTGCGATGGGAAGAAAGTCCTCCACTGAGACTGTGCAAATATTACAGGATAGGGGTTGCAATGTAAAGAACGAATAAAAATAAAGAAAAAAATATGATGTAGAAAATAAAGAACAGCATGAAAGGAGTCTTCTTATTCAAAAGTTCTGTTCCAAAAATGTAAGAAGAGTAGCATTATGTTTATATGACTCCTACCTAAATCCTGTATTCTTACATTATGAGTATCACTTCAGTATTTGTTTGGGACAATGCTGTTACGCAGACATGACATGAGGCCAAATCAGGCAAATGTGAGAAAAAGACCCACAAGTAGGACTGGAAAATGTACTTTTGAAAAAAAAAAGAAAAAAAAGCAGGAAGGAACCATCAACCACAATAGTGCTCCTGCCCAAAGCGTCTGCACAGGCAGGACTACACTGTGCCACCCAGTACACTTGGAATGTCTTTCCTCTCCACCCTGCCAAGCCACCCCTGCTCCCTCCTTCTAATGGCTCCCAATATTTCCCTTCTGCTGTATTTCCCACAATACATGCAATAAATAAATATAAAGGATGGAGAAAGGACAGAGAGGAATTCAAGCACATTCCCACTTCTTTTCTCTATTATCTTGCAAATTTTTACTTCAAATACTGCTCAGTTGTCATGAAGATTTTCATAAACAGGGCTACCCACCCAGTCCTAACTTCTAAATACTTTACATGCTTGTGGGAAAATGTCTCTCCTATACAGCACTTCTGAAAATGTCTCTCCTATACAGCACTTCTGAAAATGTCTCTCCTATACAGCACTTCTGAAAATGTCTCTCCTCTACAGCACTTCTATTGAGCTCACGTCAGCCTTTTGTAATCAATATGTGCTCTACATTAAAATGACAAATCTTACTGAACACAGGAAATTATTTTGCTAAAAAGATCTATTGTTTTATCTATTTTTTTGGATAGCACCACTTTAAACAATTCTTAAGATGTGCAGAAAGTGTACCCAAAGTAAAAAGAAAGTCATTCACAAAGTCGAGATAAACTTTGGGCCAATTGCAGCAGTATTGTAATATTTAATTCTCTTTCCAGATTTTATTTTTACCACAGACTCTGTGTAACTGCTTCATGTTACACCAACTGCATGCACTGTGCGTGGTCTCTCCAGCACCCAGACTACCTGCAACATGGAATGCATTTCAATAGAGCAGGTAGTTGAAAACCTGGAGGAAATTTTTTGTTGCTTAGCAAAGCCACTTCCACGTTTAGTCCTTACCTGTGATTCAAAGAGCACATGAACCACCCCTTCTTACTCGTCCATTCCGTGTATGTTTGAAAAGCAAATGCATTAACATTCTCATGTATGTAAAAAACTATTTGTAATCCGGAGCAGATTCCACAATCCCTTCGCAGCTCAACTAGCTGGAAAATCTTGGATAAGAGTGCCCCTCTTTGGTCAGAAAAGATTAGTGCATATTTGCTGCTCCTGTTTAGTGAACAGGTTTAAAACTATTCAAAACGCTCTGATTAAGAGCAAAAAAAAGTTCAAATATTAACTTTGATTGAGTTGAACATTGTTTGCTGATTTAGAACCAGAGAGGGCTGTCTATCTTCACATGAAAGCTACAGTACATTGAGCCACTCTGCACCATGCAAGCACATATTTTACACTTAATATATCAGTCAGAGATGAAGCTACCCCAGTGTGCAAGTCAGAATACCTCCAGGCCTTGAATAAAGGTTGAGGGTCTGAAGAAAAAGCCGTTTTGAAACTCAGAACTCATACATCACCTTGGGAAAAGCACAACACCTGTACCCGCAAGCACAACAGGCAGCAAGATTTGATCAATCTACTGTGGTCCACAATGAAATTAAGAGCAAAAGGAGAGAAATTACCTGCATCTCTGTCCACAGCTTCCACCTTAACAACAAATTCCCCTGGATCTTGGTTTTCACGAACTGCAGTCTCATAGAGTTGCTTCAGAAATATTGGTGTCTCATCATTCACATCAAGAACAATGATGGTTAGAACCTGCGTGGCAGAGAGAGCTGGGCTGCCATCATCAAGAGCTACGACTGTCAAACTGTAGCGATCCTGAATCTCACGGTCCAGAAGCTGGGCTGTAGTTAAGAGTCCTATTTTAAAGAAAGAAGGTATTAAAAAATGTATTCTGGTCCAGGTTAGGATCCCAGTTGTTCCAGCACTCACAGCTTCAATGTAGCATCACCATGCACGCTGTGCCCTGGCTGAAGGCTTCCAGACTTTGGAGTCAATCATTACCTGTGATTCCCTTTAGAGTGCTAATTGGCCCAGAAATAATCATTTTGACACTAAGGGAAACTGGGATTCATGGAATATTCAAGTGAAGTTCAGGGATTCCTTTTTATTTAACTCTGGGTTTAACTTTTTAACTTTAATATTTGTCTTCTTTTGCACCTAAGTTATGCAATTAGGAGCTTTACAAATCAGTATCAGCTGTATCACACAGTGGATTAAAAATCCGAATAAGAACCAGAAAATACTGCAACTATTAGGGTGAGATTTGGATTTGTGTGCAGATGGTATAAGAGCTACAGAACTCATTGAGGAGCCAGAGAATTTCAGGGGGCTGAAGAATGAAATTCATCAGCACTTTGAGCTTCCACTGAACATGTTCCACCCACAGTGTAATGCACATTCCATGATCTTGACTTTGCCTTTCTTTGTGTGTACATGTAGCAACATATGTGTGCGCACAGGCTTCAAGTACACACCGTGCAAAAATCAGAATGAAGTATTTCACTGCACACGCTTTCTCCCCGCACTCTTTTATGTGCTATTGGAAGGGGCTCCAGTGCATCTACACAACACAGTAATAGTGTCAAGCAGAAATTTTTGAGCTGAGTCTCACTGAGCTTCCCTACTGCATGTAGTACTGCCATGCTCACGTGGTGCTCTGCCCAAGGTAATCCCCCCTGAGGACAATAAGTAGCTGGGTAGAGTACCATAATGGGGTATTTCAGTGTTGCACTGTATACACTCCTGAATACTACTGTGAGAAGCACAATACAAGAAACTCCAGAGAACAGAAGTTACAGTACCTGTGATTTTATCCAATACAAATGCTTTGTTTTCATTGCCTGAAAGAATGTGATATGTAACTTCTCCATTTCTTCCCTCATCAGGATCCTTTGCAATTATGCGGTGCACAAAGAATCCCACCTCCACATCCTCCACGACATAGGAAAGAGATGAAGATGTAAAACTGGGACTGTTGTCATTGATATCTAGAACAACAATTTTCACAGCCAGGGAATCAAGCCTGCGATCAGTCAGATTTATTGCCTGGTCTGCTGCAGACACTGTAAGGATCACAGAGTGAGTAATCTCCCTGTCTAGTGGAAAAGCTGTGGTCAAGGTGCCATATGAAGGGTGAATAAGAAATGGATTTTCATCCACGTTACTCATTTCTAGGGAATATTGTATTTTGCTGTTCAGAAAACTGCCATCTCCATCTTTTGCATTGAATGTGTAAACCAGAGTGCCAACAGGTACATTTTCCTCTATACCAATCACTACAAAGTCATCTTGAAAATACGGAGAATGATCATTCTGATCTTCCACATCGATACTTAGGAAGACAGTGTTATTCTGTGGAGGATTATTATTATAATCCTTTATAATAACTTGCAAAAGGAAGTGCGAAGCTGTTTCATAGTCAAGTTCCTTGGAAAGAAAAAGGTCTCCTGTGAAGCTATCTATTTCAAAATGAACATCATCATCTTCTTTAGCGATACTGAAATGCAGTTTCCTGTTAGTTGTTAGATGATTATCAGGCCACTTCAGAGAATTCAACACTTGTGCAGGTTTACTATTTTCAAGTACTACAAAGTGCTTGAAATCTTGAGAGAAGACAGATCCTCCACTGGGAAGTGGGATTACCTGCAACAAAAGCACAAAGACTGCAATATTTTCCCATTGTTATTATGAGTAGTGTAATGACAATTGTTTCCCTTAACTGAAAGTATGTTTATTATTTGTGACTATATTTACCCTAAGTATGCCTGAAAGCCACAAAACAAAGTCAACATGCTCCATAAGAGTTCAAATGGTCCTTGGCCAGTCATTCCATAATTCTATCTTTCATTCCCATGTAAAAAAAAAAAAAAAGGACAAGACTGTCTCTCACCCTCTGAATCACAGGGGTTCAGAGACAGACGACCAGAATACTGCTCTCCCTGCTCCTACTCTGAAGCACTTCAACTGTCTTTCTACACAGGACAGCATCACAGGGAGAGATGTGACAAAGAAAGCACTGTACATTATGCTGTTTGCTAAACACAAACAGATAGCCCTGGTTTTTTGAGGGGTGTTTATGTCCTTACAGGGTATCAGTCATTAGGGATTGCTGCAGTGTTCCAAGTTAATGCTTTAAACTGAAAGAATCTCTTTAACTGTGGGAACTGCATTTGCCTTGTCTTGACTGAAGCTTTTTTTTCCCAAGCTATCTAAAATTAACCTTCTTTTGGGTGACATGAAAATAGCAGTCCCAGTGACATTCAGCCTCTGATAAAGGAGCGCAGAGGCAGCCTGGACAAAGCAGCCCCACCGCGGCTCGATGAACAGCAGGTGGCTGGCTGTGCAAAGAACACACGCTGGATTTCACACTCCCATGCAGAGCAGCCCTGTATAAACCAGCACAAAGGAATGAGCTATCCTTATACTGGGTTACAGAAACAGAATTTAGAAAAGAGAGTAACGCAGTGGAGAAAAGAATTATCTACTCTCTCCCTGACTTTCAGTCTCTCCTGATATTTGCTTTTAAATCTGCCTACCTGGCTTTTTCCCTTCTCTTTTCCAGTGTTCATAATGACTTCCTATTAAAGCACCAACATCGATTTGCAAGGAGCCCAGAATGCTGTTGTGTATTCTTAACAAGTCAAAATGAGCCTGCCCTCTCATTTACTCCCTCAACAGAAAAATGGCTGAAGAAAATTACCATGAGACAAAGTGCTTGTAATTTTGAACTTCTTCCTTTCCCTAGCTTCTCTTAAAATTGTTTTTTCAAAGGAACTATGAATCTAACATAGCTGTTCTATCCATACAAAATAAATAAGTACCTGGATGTAAACAGCAGTATGTCCTTGAAGTGAAGGCATCCCCTGGTCCCTGGCTGTGACCATCATTCTGTAGTCTGATCTCTCAGCATGTGACAGAGACTGGGTTGTTCTTAACTCCCCGCTGACAGCATCAATCTGGAAGTATCCTGTGTCCTCTTCTATGGGGAAAAAAATGGGTATGAGTTATTGCAGATCTCTTCAGCTTGCCTCCATAATACTGAACATTGTAATTAACACTGAGTAACAGCAGAACCCAGAGGAAAGTGAACCTGCTGCACTCATTTGGATCTCTCTGGCTCATTTAGTTCACTTCTTCCTTCATCGAGTACGTAGTTATTATAAACCACTTACTCTGGATTTAGAAAGCTACAGAGGGGAATTCTATGGAGTACTAAAGTAACTGCTCAATTTTGTACCAACGTTACTCACACCAATGCCGTGTGCATCAGGAGAGCAGCAAGCACCCCAGGATTGGCACTACCACTTCCAACCTAAGTTGGCAGGCAGGGCCAGAGAAAGAATTAAATTTTAGTGTCTGAACTGGCACGAGGGGTCAAGTAATTGATGCTAGATACACAGCTGGCTCATGTCCCTCGCAGACTATGGGTCAGCATAGAGCCCTATCTACCCCTCAGACACCGCAGCTGCAGAGACGCTGCCTACCTTGCCTATGCTCTGAACCAGGAGCTAACTGGGGCTCGACAAAATCTTACAGTAAATTGCTGCAGAGCAACATGTGAATATTGGAAATTATGCATACATCCTTCATCAATGACTGGCCACATGCTAATAACAAGCAACTTCTAATTAAAATTACTATTTGCAGCTACATCATATTACATTTATTCTAGAATTCCAAAGAAAAATTCTACGACAGAAAAGTAAATGGCTCTTTGTGATTTAGAATCACAGAATCGTTCAGGTTGGAAAAGACCCTTAACATCAGCAAGTCCAACTGCAAACCTAGCACTGCTAAGTCCACCACTAAGCCATGTTCCTAAGTGTCACATCTATACATCTTTTAAACGCCTCCAGGGATGGTGATTTAACCACTTCCCTGGCAGCCTGTTCCAGTGTTTGACAACCCTCTCAGCGAAGAATTTTTTCCTAATTTGCAATCTAAACCTCCCCTGGCGCAACCTGAGGCCGTTTCCTCTCATCCTGTCACTTTTTACCTGGGAAAAGAGACTGATACCCACCTCCCCCATTTTCATGGAATGCAATACAAATTACTCTCCAATTTTTAGTAAAATGGGAAAGTATCTATTACTTCGTATACCTTACCAAAAACTGAGAAAATCTAATTTTTCATAACTACTTCTCTCTTAAAATACTATGCAAACAACTTCTTGCTATGTGAAGTTTTAATAAGGTGTGCTAGTGAGTTAAACAAAGTCATGCATCTTAACAGCTGCTATTCTAATAAGCAACTGTGGTAAAAATCAATTTAATGCAGAAGTAGTATACAAAATACCCATAAAGAATTATATTTCCATAGGCATCTAAGTGAGCATGAAGCTGTTTATGTTCTCCAAATCTGCACATACAAATTTTAGTTAGCAGCACATATAGATGTATGTTTTTGTATCCAATTACCACACCTGCAACTGTAAAATATTTGCACTTGTAGAATTTGAAAAAAACACTGAGCAGGATAGTTAGAAAACAGGCTTTTCACAATCAACAAATAGGAGTTTTTTCCAATATTGTTCTGCTATTTTTGACTGACTAGGTTTCTAATGCTCCACGAGCCCCTTTTGGGTTGACTTTTGCAGTCTGGAACGTAATGAGGAAATTGCCAACAAAAGGAAACAATATGTAGAGACAATTATATTGAATGAGACAGTCCTGCGTTCTGCATTTTTCATGATCGTTTCAAAATATTAATGCTGCTATATTACTGTTTTAATAAATAGCTGTTGGTTACTTTCCTGGTTAAGGTCCCAACAGTATGTCTACATTCACAGATATGCTATTTTTTTCCATATATGTCCATATTGTTCATGACACAAAATCCCAGCTAAGCAAAAGGCAGAGGAGATATGAAAAACAGAACACATAATGTGAATTGCATGCATATATATTTAATGTTTTGCTAAAACTTACATTTAAAATAACTGCTAGGTAGAACTAACAAAAAAAAGAAAAGAAAACAGAAGTGCACAAAACTATTCACTTCATTTTTCTATCAAAATGGAGATAGTTACCAAACTGAACCAAAAATAAAAATTATTTTTAAAAAAATAAATCAGAGAACAAAAACATTGCAAGTACATAATCGCAATCTGAGCATGAGGCTATGAGGATTCACCCTCGCTCCAGCTGTGATGAGGATAGTCAGCACCTCTTAGCAGAAAGACCAATACTTCTTTTTCTGTTTCAAGAGGTCGAACATAGATAGCTAAGCTCAACTGAAATAGGTGTCAGTCCACAGAGCTTCTGAAGGGTAGAAGCTTATTTGGTAAGAGAAAGAAATACTCAAAATCTACATTTTTGAATAAAAGAGAGCTGGTCAGAAAAGAAATTACCAATAGCATTATTTACTAGAGACTACAATTCCACTAAAATCCAAATATTGCATCAAGCAGTCAGTTTTGAGCATATTTTGGTGGCAATAAAAGTAACAGAAAAGTCTGATAATGTTGGAAAGTGATATTGTATAAAACCAAAACCTCTTGGGACTTCCATTTTGAAAGCGTTTCTTATTTTCATCTTTCTTATCTGGCACTGCACTACAAAGACAGTCAAAACGGAAACATCTTACTTCTATTTTTCTGGCATTTTTATCAGTCTATTTTTAATTTATTCATGGACAATTTCAAAGTGTAGCCATTTGATTCCAGATCAGAAAAAACTTCAAGGAAAAAAAACCTTATGAAATGGATTTCCCTTCATCTACAGACAGACTAATCAAACTTTTATACTACATTTTGTAGTTAAAGCAATTTCTTCATTTTCTGAATTTCAAAAGCCTAGATAAAGACATATCTTGCTTTTCAACTGATTTAATAGATGACATGTACTAAGAGAAGAGATAGACCACTTTTGAATACTTTTGTCCAAGATTACTGAGGGCAAGTGCATGTGAGTGACAGCTTGCTCAATTTCTAAATACGCTCCAAATCCTCCTCCTCATTCTTTCAGAAGTTCAAAATAAAGAATAAGGAAAAAGGTGGTTTTAAGTTTTATGCTCAAAGAACATGTCGGTCTTCGCACAAAAAGCTCCCTGCACTTCCAGAAACATTTGCTCAACTTTCATCTCTGCAGGTCACCTGAATTAGGCAACTGCTGCTTATATCACACACCCTAAGGATGTCCCTTTTCGTACAAAGAGAAAAGGAAGAAATTATAGGAGATATGGATAAGAACGAAGGACATTGAGAAGAGCAGGTGAAGCATGGAACAAAAAAAAATCAAATCTTTCGATAACTAGATTTTAATGGCCCCAGTCTCTTCTTGTGCTTGCAACTCTACCAAAAACCAGATACACTTTTTCATCTAAATTTTCCACCTCTGAATTGTCCAATCTGTTGGCCAGACTTCATTTACATGAGGTTCTCCAAGGCCCAGGCACTTTCTCAACTCAGCGTTCTCAAACACAACCACAGAAACTGCAGTCATGAAGTGCAGGAAACGACATGCAGGAAAAAAAAATCAGGCAGGCAATGCCATGGCTACCAAATAGCTTGAACACAGCGGGGCTGCTGCAGAAATGCAGCCTTCTACAAGTTAGGAATGCCCCTGCATACCGCCTGCAAATCACCCTGGAAAACAAGTACTTGTCCACAGGCATACGTACAACACTTGCCAATTCGTGTGTGTGTAAACTAGGCTTCTCCTAATAGTCTGGTGCTCAAGTGCTAATGCATCTGCAGAACTGGTCCAAATATAACTGTAAAAGCTTCTACTCTGCCAGTGCTGGTCATAACACACAAAACAATAGTTTATGATGCACTATAAATACAGACTAATTACTGTTATAAATGCTATAAGCTACTGATAGTCATAAAGAAAGCCAGGCAAATCACTTTGCAATTGCCAGCATCGCTAAGGACATAGCTGGAATTCATCTCCCTCTGAATTTGGTTACTCTTTGAGCGACAACACAAAAGTGGGGGTGTGGCGACATGATCATGCATTCCATACACATAGATGTTTAAGGACGATTTGTTTTAATTTTCTGGGAAGACGGAGAGGCATTTTGAAGGAAACACTTCTCTGAAGGCTGAAATTAATCTCTTGTGTAAACCTCAGTTCTTTTACAGATTTTTCCTTACATGATTTGTTGGCATTTGTCAGTAGCCCTCCTGCATAGCTTAATCTATTGCTGCTATCTCGGCATTTCTTTGAGGTCTCAAGAACATTAAAAGTTACTCAGTGACTCTTACAAGCTTAACAGCTGACACTGATGCTCATGGCTCTTAATCTTGTGGCAGTCCCTCAACTGCTGAAAAGAGCACTGGTCTGTATGCAGTCCTCCAATTAACCTGATGTTTTTGTGTTTAACAAATATGGCTGTAAATCAGATCATATTTCTTCTTCGTATTTTAGTACTGAACAATGTCCCAGAACTAGAAAATACTATTTTAAATATAAACCAGGAAAGAACTGCACCATGAAACTGAAGACCAGATGTTAAAGGCTGTGAGCCAACAAACAACAACAACAAAAATTAGTATCAGAGAAGCTCAGCTGTTTCTGGATTTGTTTATCGGAAAAATATCTAGTTCCAAGGATGGGAGGACTTTTTTAGTGGGTATTTTTTGTGGGGGTTTCTTTTTGGTTTTGTTTTGTTGTTTGTTTTTTTTATTTTTTGCTGCTGTTTTTATCCTTTTGTTCTTTCTAGAGACAGCATTTATAAGACCAGTCATATTTTGTGTTGCTAGTAATTTTTATAATTTGAACTCTTACTTACTCCCCTCTGGGGCTCTACAGTGAAGCCAGTAAGAAAATCCAATGTGCTGTTTGAAGGAGGGGGATATAGTTAGATATACAGACAGGCAGAGACCCCTGAAGAACACTTCCCATGTTGCCTGGCCATCACCCTTCAAACAAAGGATAGGGTATTACTCATTCCCTTTTTCTTAAGGGGAATAATTTTGTGAAAAATATTATTGTTCACAATGCAGAAGTCCACGATTCTCTCCAGTTCCCACTGGAAGAGGCAGTCACTTGTATCCAAATTAAGGGAATAATATTATGGCCATAAACTGGCCCTACAGTCTTTTATTATCTACATATATTTCAGCTGCAAAATTTTCAATAGAGTTGTTGAATGTCTCATTTTTTTTAAGCAACTCTTGGTGAAAGAGTGCAGAGTTAGTTCCCTGGCCCTTCTGGATTTGGATCTTAAAAGTCCTTCCATTACACCATAGAAGTCAAAAGGGTACATAAAGACACAGTATAACATAATCCATGGGAGTTTTTTGGTAATTTCAATCTGGGCAAGAGGAGGCTACAGATTCCCTTGCTCTTTAAGAGTGAGGAGTAATGTGGCTTTGCAATAATTTGTTCTTTACTCTGCAATGACAAATAATTGCTATGAATTTAGACCAACCAAGCCCACATTTGAGCTCTACCTAGGCAGAAAAGACCACCTGAGGAAATGCACTGAGTGGATGGAAATACTGGAAGTGTTTTCTTGCTCTGATGAAACAGTATGGTCTATATGCAAATTATCATAGACTATAAATAAAAAGCTTAAAAAGTATTGATTACATTAAGCTGGTAGAATAAAGCAGGTATCAAAATGTAAAAAAATAGTTCTGTTCTTAGCTCCTCTTGCTGTTTTGAACCCATAGTGAAGCAAAGCAGGAGGAACAGACATGTTTTCCTCACTAGTTACAGACATAGCTCTCTCTTGTGTAAAAGCACAGCAAGTGGTATATGGCAAAAACAGAGATCACATCTATGTCTCTTACCAGTATTAGTGCTCTAGTCCCACACGGGTTCCAATTTAGGAACTGGTCTGTTATTGATTTCACTGCAAACAAAACTGAATTCTATAGTTTACAGGAGAAGTGAACTACTACATGTAGGAATTATTGGGAAAACTAAAGAGGAGAGGTGTTTTTAAGTGGCCACGCTGTATCAGGCTAACACAGTGCTAAACAAAGGGTGAAACATGAACTAAAACCCACAAGCCTCATTGCTTTGCCCAGATTATCTGCTGATCCTTCTGATCCCTGTCTCAGACTGTCATGAACCATTCTTTTAGCAGGAAAATTTTAAATTGGTCATGGGAAAAGGGATATCATCTTTCCTTTAAGATGTTAAACAACTGACTGAAACACTAAACTGTACAGTACAAGATCAAGGTCCCAATATTTTCTGAGTGCTGTTTCAACACTCTTTGACTGGCCACACAAGCAACTAAACCGCTGGGAAGATGGGGCAGAGGTGGGCAGGAGGAAAGGTAGCTGCTTGCACCTGCTCAGATACTCTGTAAGACATATGACAGTCCTGATTCCTATTTACACAGGCACCTTTATTCTAACAGAGACAGAAATAGACATAAAGTCCTGTATGTACACATGGCACCTCTGAAACTCTAGTTATTTCAATGTATCTTTTCTTATAAATAACACTTTTAATTCTTACCTGATTCTATTGAATATAATACAACACTGTTGTTTCCAGAATCAGAGTCTTTTGCAAAGACGGTGGTAATAAGTGTTCCTGGTGGCTGTCCTTCCAAAACCTGTCATCAAGCAGTTAATAAATAATTTGTAAATATACATTGAAAACAGTGATTCTTAAAATAAATTCCTTACCATAACATCAGAATTTAGCTGTTGCTCTATTTTCCATTTCTGTAATATTTAAGGTCAATGTAAAGAGCATTTCAGGAAATGGTTAAGTAATACAGTTCTAGCAATCCTCTGTTACAGTCTCTGTATATTGCTAACTCAAAAATCTCGGAGGTCTCAGAGAAATTAAAAGAGATTCTACTGCATACATAGATAAAATTATACATATATATTCTTCACATCTAACAGTATAGAAGGCAGAGAAGTGCGATCGTTTGATAAATGTAGAAATTCCCAAATATACTCAAGTCTCAGATAAGAATGGGTTACGTTTCTGCTTGGGTCTCTTCCTGTCCCTGTTTCACAGCAGGGGGTTTGTGCTCCTGCCGCAGGGTGGTGCTCGGAGCCCGGCAGTGCATCCCCCCGCAGCACCCACCTTGAGGCGCAGCTCCTGCCCGGGCGCTGCCTGGGGGAAGAGGGGCTCGTTGTCGTTCAGGTCCCTCACTGCAATGTACACGGCTGCTGTGGCGTTACGCCGCGGGGACCCGTGGTCAGTCACCAGCACAGTCAGCTGGTGGTGAGCTTGTTTTTCACGGTCTAATGCAACCCAGTTTATAATTTCACCTGACGGACAAAGAAAATGCAGGAGAAAGGGAGTTTGATATTTACTATATGCTAGCACTCATCTTACTACATGCAATTATACATTTAACAGGGAATAATGATACATGTCTTCTGATACACCTTACTCATGACATTAAAACCTCAGCTTTCCAAGCTCCATTCCATAGAAACATTCTGTCAATCACAGCTTGCACCTGAACTTTAGTACATCCTCTACTATACAGTGGATGCCCTGAAGCAAAGGTATAAAACAGTACATCAATCACAGCTTGCACCTGAACTTTAGTACCATATTGCATCCTCTACTGTACAGTGGATGCCCTGAAGCGAAGGTATAAAACAGTACGAACCAAGGCACTGACCTTCCAAAGAAACCCATCTGGCCTTTTCTTCACCACACTTCAGGACAGATAACATATGAGCACAGGGTTTTAACTGCTGTCAAATGGCCTTTATTATGCCCCTGGGATTAGGAAATTCTCAACACAATGTCTGTATATTAATCAGGAACCCTGATATCTCCTATACATTCTAGTTAAGGCAGTGAATAAATCTGACCCAATCTTCTCTCTCTCTGCTCAACCATACTCAATATAGCTGTACATTTGTGGTTGACCAAAGTCCTTCATACACATAACCACATATCATCTTCTTGGTCAACTCCTAGTACTCTATTTGCCTTTAAAATTCCATAAACATACAGAACAGGAACCTGCTTTGAAATGAAATTTAATTTTAAGATTCATACAGAGAAATTCTAGGAGACCCTATTCACTCCCCATGAAGACAGGACATCCGGAAACAAGAACATTTAACAGCAGATCTTTGCTCACTACCTATCATTTTGCTAAACCAGATTGTTTACAGTGCCTGTGTTCCTTACAGAAAACCCTTCCTCTGGGCTCTCCACGCTGTGGTCTGTGGTGTTATACTCTGTGGACACAGAACCTATTACTCCAGGCATTTGGGATTCACTGCAGAGTACACCCTGTGCCCTGCAAAATTCCTCTGAGCCAATTTGATGCCCGTGGTACCATGTACAACATGAACCCAGTTTTGATGTAACTTACACAAGTTTTCATAAATATTTGAAATCACTGTAACTGTCAAATGCCATAGTTACCTTTACAGTTATTTATGGCTGATCTGTATTCCTCAAATCTACTTGATCACAGGCAAGTAAGTTCCTCATATGAACTATTGAAGCTCTAACTTCAAACTCCTTTTAACTTGTTACAGTCAAACACAGAAACTTATGACCAAGTGACCAGAATGAAGTCACGAAAAAATCAAACCCTAAGGGTTAGTTCATTCTTCATGAACATGTAATAGATTTATTTCATTCCTGAAATTGTGAAGCTCTGAGTTAGAATATTCACATATTGACTCAAGAGATTCACAGCAGTTCCTGAAAGCTTTACACTTTACTTCCATTCCCTTAGAGAAGGCTGCTTTCCAAAAGCAATATTAGGCAGATTAGAAATCATAAAATGCTACCTGTGTTGGAATTAATCTTGAAATACTTTCCATCAGACAGGAGGAAATAGGAAAGTTGTCCGTTTCTTCCTGAGTCTTTGTCAACAGCTGTAATGGTGCCAACCACACCCCTAGGAATTGGATTTTCCTCCATTTCAAAGAAGTAGCTCTCGCGCATAAACATGGGAGAATTATCATTTTCATCCAGGACATTAACTATTACTGATGTACTTGCATTTTGTCTGAGGTTCTCATGCTCAGAGGTGCTGACCACGACTCTAAAACTTAGTATCTGTGCACATTCGTAGTTCAAATGTTTCCGAAGATAAATCCAGCCAGTAACAGAGCAAACTCCAAATGCAACAGAATCTGTGCTAGGCTCTAAGGAATACATCAGCTTGGAGGTAACGCTATGTGGGTCAAGTGAGTGGGCTTGAACCTGAAGGATTTGGGCACCTGGAGACGTAGCTTCACTGATTTCTACTTGATACACCAAGTTTTGAAAAACCAAAGTAGGGCCCAACTTCTGCTCTTCAATAATCACCGTCAACATCAGCGAAGAAGTCAGGGGAGGACTTCCACAGTCTTCAGCTGCTATGTGTAGAGTGTATTCCTGCTGCTTATCCGCAAACACCGTCCTGGTGAGATTTACCACTCCAAGGCTTGGATCAATGCTGAATGCATTTGACTGCTCGCTTGCAATACTATATTTGATTGCCCCATTTAGGCCACTGTCTCTGTCTTCTGCATGAGCAATGTAAACAGCAGTGCCAGGAGGCTGGGTATGTGAAATAGTTACCTTATCTGATTGGGTAAGAAATACCGGAGGGTTGTCATTAATATCTATCACAGAGATGTTGACCTGGGTGCTACTGTAGACAGGGGAGTTACCCAGCTGTGACTGAACGGTGAGCACCACAACAGACTGAGTTTCATGGTCAAGCTGTTTTTTGGTGCGGATGATACCAAACTGGGGATCAATAGAGAATCTTCCATGTGGATCACCAGAAGAAATTCTGTAAGAAACCACTTCTAAAGAATCTAGAAATGGAAATAACAACAAAAAAAATGTAATAAAATATGAAGTGATAACATGAAGGTTGGTAAGAACATTGTGGAGAACGCATGCTGTTAAATTCAGCAGAATAAATGTAAGCTACACAGATGTTTGAATTTCTTGGGCTTTTTATACTTCCTCTCCCGGGAACCCTTCAGTAAAATATAACTGTATACAGTTTGTCCACTTGTGCACCATTTGATTTTCATCTCACTGGTATGATAAAACTCTATACAGAATACAGTATAATAGCCTCTTGTTTTTCCCTGATCTAAAATATGGAAAAAACACTCCAATAAATTAGTCTTATGGGATTAATTTCACGACACACAGGCATTCACTATAGCAAGGAATGAAACAGGTGGCAATTCTCTGAAAGAACTGCATTTTACTGAACTTAATTCAGGGATGACCATTGCTATAATACTTATACATGAGATGCTACCTAAAGCAAAAGCTATCTAAAGGTTCAGGCTTATTACCAAGGCTGCTTTGCAGGCGCTACCTCACCCTGAGGACAGTGGTCAATGCACCGTCCTTCCAAGAAGACGACAATGGGAGGACCTGACTAATCAAACTTATATTAAACCTCTGCCTCTATCACTTTACACATACAGATCCACCATCAAGCTGGTATGTGGACTCACAACCGCATCTTTTATGACTACAGCCTGGTAGGAGCTAACCCATTTCCCTCTAAAAATAATCACGAAAACAAATGGATTAAATACATTTTCAAAAGGTCCCATAAATATTAATCTGGACTTTATCATGTAGTTTGAGAAAAATGGGGTGGGGGGGGGGGGGGTTGCTTGTTTGGGCTTGGAGAGGGGATTTTTTTGTTGTTTGGGGTGTGGGGTTTTTTTGCAGCAGCAGTAGCAGCACTTCATATAGATTCTCTGAAACTTCTGAATATTCTCTGATCATGACTATTGCTCTGAGATTTGTCTTGCACGGCTAATGCTTTGACACGAGCCACACTGTCACAAAACCCCTTCTTTACACTTCTACAACATGGTTCCCATCTCCACATTTAGAATTTTAGAAATCCATCTAGAAGAAAAGGGAGGCAGTTGCCAATCCCCATGGACCACCAAGGAGAGTACCATGAACCTCCATCTGTTCTGAAGAGCATCCTGATACAGCGATGATTGCACCAGTTGCTGTAAATATCAACAGTAAATACTATTTAGTGCTCGACAGACTGAATGAATAATATGGAAGTTAAAAAAAAAAAAGAATTATCTGCAGATATTTCCAGTTAATTGTCACAAAAAAAAAAAATAGAATATAATCTATGACTGAGCATGTAACTTACTTGGGGGCTCTCTGGCCTTGACAGTGCCAATTGGGCTGTCTTCAGGTGCGTCTTCGGGAACTGAAAAAGTGTATCGGGATCTCTCAAATATGGCAGGGGCTGAAGCACTCTGAAGGATGTTGACTGTGACAGCTGCGTTGGTGGCAGAGGGAAGGCCACCCCCATCCCGCGCAGAAACAGTCAGGACGAGGGCAGAACGTGCCAGGTGGCCAAGTGCTGAGATCAGGTAAATAATTCCTAAAAGTACACAGAAATAAAAGAGCAATGAAATCAGTTAAAATTCAGCAGGCTGTCAAAATAGTTTCAACGTGTATCACTACTCGAAGAGAAGGCCAGACAATGTGGACAAAAAGCAGCACTCCCAATTCCTTTTTGAGAGCCAAGCTTTTTCAAATTATATCATCTTCACCACGCACAAAGCCACTGACACACAGCAAGTTCTGTGTCAAAACACAGTGTCCATAATTCTGATTATCTTTAACAACTTCATTAAATCAATAGATTAATTCTGAGTTTTCAACAATGTTAGAAAAACCACACTTTTATCATAGGAATCTGGAACTTTATCAGGGGAAAAAAATACTTAAACATTTAAAAAGACTAATTTATCTTTGCAAACAGTAAAGTTAACTTTATTTCGAACAGGCTGCAGAGACATTCTGCTCAAATAAGTCTCCAAATAAAACATCCATACAAACGGGATTGAAGCCCCAAAATACAAATCAGTGGGCTCTGTGTAAAGTACCTGAGAAGCAATCACCTCTTATCTGATCAGAAGTTTCTGGTAAAAAATCCTTTAGTAGTGAATTCTAAGGTTTGTTTGAATTTGTAAGCTGCTAACTATTGTATTTTATATAAACAATATGAAACAAGTAATTCTCTGAAAAGAAAATGCAATTTTCTGTCCAGAAATACAGCACTTTGGATGTGCCTTCCTCAAGATAAATACATTTTCATCCTTTAACTCTGATGAATGAGACTAGCTGTCTCCAAATACATTCTCTTCTGGTGGCTAAAATAAGCCTTTAGTAATATCAGATAATTATGCCCAATTTTCAAATACTCTCTCTGTAACTACAGAAACCCACATCTAACTATTATTACCTAAGATGGTCGTATGGGTAGAAAGAATGAACATAGTAGGAATCCCATCCCATCTTCATCTACAGTAAAAGCTTGGATGAGCTTCAAAGAAAGCTTTGTTTGAGTGAAGACTTCAGTCCCAGCAATGAGAATTGCATCCAAACCATAGCTTTCTATGGGATGTTCATAACAGTCCACAACAATTATCCAAAACTGATACTTGCTAATGGTTCCATGAGAGACAGTCATTCATTGTCCTTTGCAAGCAAATTAAGGATTTCTAAATGAAGATACAAACCCACAAATTAATCATTAGCCTTCAGAGCACTCTGAAATGTCTGGTCTAGACAAAGTGAAGAGAAATACTTAAAAAGGTAGGGGTAAGCACTAGATCATAAAGCAATATAGCATGTTTGCTAATTCAAAATTGTATAACTAATTAAAACCTGAGGTGCACAGTTGAAGACCAGGTGCTTTCGACCAGGTAAAAGATGGAATAAGGAAATGTAATTACAACCTAGAGAGCATTAATACTGATTTGTATAATCCTTTGCAGCATCTTCTATACCATTGAGCAGGAGGAAGAACACTTTCACTTATTCTGAGGTGACAGAAATACATTCTAACATCCTTTGGTGGTCACACAGGGAACTACTTGTAAAGTAAGTTTTTCAACATATGAAAATGAAGATGAGATGTGATCAAACACAAGAAGATTCTTAGCAATGACTGAGTTTAACTAAATAGACACTAAATACTAAAATTGCAGTGAGCTAAGTATTAAGGTTGCAGTAAACTCAAGTGATTCAACTAGTAGGGACAACTTTCTTCATACCAACAGATATTTTTAAGAATTCATCTATGTTTTTTGTAGAAGTTGGTGAAGACACAAAGCCTCTAGGAGCTCAGTAAAAACAAACCTTCAAACTTTGAGGGACCTTTGTGGTTTCCTGGCTCTCAAGACAGGTTTAGCAGAGATGATATCTGGCATTCAAGTCAGGCATTTAGTGGTCCTATTTGTCAGACAGGGTAAAAATTAGATTTAAGTCAAAATGCCCTAGGAGAATTAATAAATGATTCAACAACAATAAATCTTCTCAAAATTTAGTGTGAAGCCACAAACAGTAATTTGCTACAATGCATTTTTAAGCAGAATAATGGAAAATATATAAAATCCTTATAAATATTCAAATGTGCATGTGGTATACTTTCCAATTATACCGCCAGGACATTATAACAACAAACTGTGTCTTGACATGCTTAAAATGCATTCAGAGGGTCTTCAGGATCAAGGAAGAATGCTTTCCACTAACAAAGGACACTTATTCCAGTGTGACAAACCACAGTAAAACACAATAGAGGTACAGACTGATTGAGAATTCACTGTGAACCCAACTCCTATGCCAATAACTGATGCACCTCCAAGAGTCAACTTTATTTTGGCTGTTTTTTTTTTTTCTTCTTTTTTGATCTTCCAATTATTGGGTTTTACTACTAGTTAGACAGCTAAACAAAGTAGTTTTCCAAGGACATAAACTTTTGACATTTCCTGAGGTAATCTGAGCAACTGTAGCTTGAAGGAAAAAGGGCTTAAACCATTTTTTCTCCAGAGGTTAAATCTATAAACATGGATTTTAAACACTGTTGCTGTCAAATTTAATGAAACCAATCAAATGGACTGCCTTTTACTAACTTGAACAATTGGGTATTTTTCTATTCACAAGGCCAAAAATCTCTCATTCCCATTTTGGATACTTCAGGATGTATGTGAAGAGTGGGAAAACTTCTACAAAAAATAAAGCATCACATTGAAATTCTGACTCTCAAAGCAATAACTAATGACTTCAGAACATCCCTTTGCAAGGGTGGAGCAAACAGTGCTCCACTCCAGGAACTCTGAAGACCTGGTAGAACAGAAATATGTCAGAAACAGAAATTCCTTCTCTGCTGACCTAGACAGATTGCAGCATGACCCATGCCAGTTCAGCTATAGAAAGCAGACAGCAAATAAAATGGATAAAGATTTTGCTTTCTCTCTTCATTCTTTTGCTGTGTCCTAGAGAGGAAAGGGAATCTAGCCAACTCTGTCCTCTCTTGCAGGACCAGGGACGCCCTAAGAACAGTGGCAGATTCCAAGTAAAAAAGTATATGTCTTCCATATGGCTTCTTCCAGCCTCAGAACTGTAATATGCAGGAAATTTTATAACACAGTTTGACTTTTAAGTATATACATTCTGATTCTTTTAGCATTTGTAGGACTGGGCATTAGCTTTGCATCTGGTGATGTATAATCTATACAGACATTTGAGACAGCTCTACCATACGCAGGGGAACATCCCACATTAGGCTGTGTTATGGCACCATACAACAGGAAAGAAGCTGTAGAGGTAAGCAGCATCTGTGATCCTACTGACTATACAATTAGGTAAAAACACCACACTGGGACTAAAATGGACAGTCATGACCACTTGGGTCAAAAGTAGCAGCTAGCACACCTCAGAGCAGGCTGGCTGCATATGATCTGCTGAAGTACGTTGCAGGAGCTGCCCTAGCATTACACTGCAAGGGCAGAAAACACAGGGCTAACTGCAAGAAGCACACATCAGGAACTAGCCGTGTAAGTCACACACTGGGTGTGCGAAACTCAGCAGAGGTATGCCTCGCTAAAAAACTCGCTGAAGATCAGTCACAGTTTTCCTTTCTTTCTTGTTCTGTAATTAAGACAAGACAGCGGCTTATTATTGTTATAGTCACTTGCAGCCTGCAATTCGTGACTTCAGAGAAAAGACAATTAGATCGCTGTGGTACAGAATATATTTTTCCATTATGAAAAACAGTTTCTAGAGAAGCTAATGATGGAAAGGGAATAATGAGAGGGCTGCTCCGTGAGGAATGTTTTACCAAGACCAAAACTCCCAGCAGGGGACCATACAGACACAAGTGTGGTTCCACTTTAAGAAGTCACTGCATGAAAAATGCCATCTTCTTTCTAATAGCTTGGCTCCCCGTATATATGGGCAGTCTTATCTGATACCTTTAACAACATTTAATTCCCATTTTTTTAATGTATTGTTTATATTACTGCAGTGCCTTGAAGATTTTACCTCTGGTAATTCCTCATTCTAATGTGTACTCATTTTAGACAGAATCTGCAATACCAGTTGCATGACAGCAAGGGCCACTACATGCCTGGGTTTGGGAAGAGCTCTGCACCCACACAGCTGAACTCAACGCAGACACATGGAGAGCTACAGGGATTTTGCTGCAGAACAACCTGTGCTTACTGACTAGCGTAAATTGATAACACTTTCAGGCATTCAGTGTACTTGTGAGGGCTAGTGTTAGTGAAGGGTGAAATCATGACTATCAGCTCTATCACCGCTTTCACCGCTTTCATCCTTCCTCACTCACTGTACATTCTAGGGCACTAACTTCAGGAAGCTCTTCCTCTCCACTTTGTGCTTATCAACAACAAAAGGCAAAATGAAGCCAATGTTCACCCAGAATGTGCAAAAGCATCAGTGAAAGCCAGGACTCTGAGGCAACCGTCATCCTCTGGCAATGACAAAATTTCTCATGAGATTTTTTTGTCCTTATTTTTGTGCAGACGCACCCTGCTCCACAGGTGAGTTAGCTGTCAAGTGCTGTTTCTCAAGAGTTAAAGCCAGGAGACAGGGTCCTGCATACAATGATTCTTTTAAAATACATTTATGATCTTCTTCATAATCCTGTGTTCCTTCCTGACATTACAACTGCATAGATCACTGAAGTAGGTTCATTCACCAAAAGCACTTTTTGTATGGCAAAAACAGTACTGGTTATCCCAACAGGATTTCCATGCGTACCTCTAGATGACCAGTTTGAAAATCTATCTATTTTTCCACGGGGTACTCACATAAGCAAAACAAAAACCAGCCCTACATGAATAGCCGTTTGTAGGTAAACAAAACATCTTCCATTAGTCAAGCACTGAAGAGGCAAAAATATAAATCAGGACACACTGATTTCAGTAATGAAGTCTGAATTGCATAGAAATATGTACTCATTTAAATAGCTTCCATTACTTTCTCATTGTTCATGAAATAAAAAAAAGCAACTTTAGAACACAGCTGGAGGAATAAAAATCAACAGCTATCAATAGTGTTCTCTACGAC